CTAGCTCTATTTTTATGAAAATGAAGAATCCAGAATTACCATGACACTTTCTTTCCTGTTTTGTTGTTGACACTTTAACGTGATCAGCAAAGGCAGCATGAGCTTTTTACGTGGCAACCCCGCTTCCTTGTAAACGTCGCGGAATTTCAATTAAATTTGAACTCAGAAATAAGTCTTACTGTATCAATTCTTAAGACAAAATATATTTTGCTCAGCATATTTAAGATTAAGACAGTAGATAATCATATCTACTTATTTATAGAAATACAAGTTCGGAAAAGATAATTAGTCTGAAGTGTAAAGCGTCTTTTGAAGAAAAAGACGAGTATCCAAATTATTAGCGTGTTTTTAATTCATCCAAACAATGCACTGTTCGTCTTTAATAAAGACTTTCTTTTTTCACAAAATTTGATCACTAAAATCATTAGCATGACAACTGTTGAAAATATGTTGTTTTCAAAGGTGCTCACTGAAAAGTATTAAATAATACAAATACATGCTAACTTGATCTACCTGCAGGAGAGTAAATTCATTTGGCAACCTCTAAAGTAACAGCAGCAGACAGAACTCCTTCTCTATCTCGTTCAAGCAAAGAGGTACGTATTCTCTGTAAATCAGGAAGTCGATAAACTACATTGTAAACCGGTTTATATTAAGTTTTAATTTCATAAGTTCCCAAATAGATACTACACATTAATATTGTTTGGATGAAACACATTGACAATAATTGACTTGATTACTATATTAGCCAGACATCTGCTAGAAATGCTTATCTTCATTTCTTCTTAACTTTTCTTGGAATGTCGTAGATCGAACTTGCAATTGAAATTTTAACTCGGTGTTTTAAGTCTTTACATAAAAAAGATATCGTAAATGCCTTCATTCCAGACATTCCATTTCTCATTGAAACTTTAGCAGTTGACTGTATTCAATATAAAGTTGATCTTTATGAAGAAAAAAAAAACAAAGCAGTTCTCTGTCGATGACAAACAGGGTTGAACAACAAAATACTTTCTACTTTATCTATACATTTGAACTCGATGACTTATATTTATTAGCAGTGTTATGTGCTTGATAATCCAGTCAGCAAACGTTGATCAAAGGTTGCATAATGCACCATTAATGCACTTGTGATAAATAGTCAAAGGGAGCGGTTTACTTAAATTTAGCTAACAGGTGTGGCAGTCAGAGCCCTCCTCTAGTCTGATTATTTCCGAATTGTCTACGCCCAGTTGTATACGCATGCGCAAGTAATCGGTGACATCTGACATGTGTATGTTGCTGTCTGATTTGTCCGTCTTCAAATCTTTTCCGTCTGCGAAACAATATTCAAAGGTTTATCTCAACTAGCTCTATTTTTATGAAAATGAAGAATCCAGAATTACCATGACACTTTCTTTCCTGTTTTGTTGTTGACACTTTAACGTGATCAGCAAAGCCAGCATGAGCTTTTACGTGGCAACCCAGCTTCCTTGTAAACGTCGCGGAATTTCAATTAAATTTGAACTCAGAAATAAGTCTTACTGTATCAATTCTTAAGACAAAATATATTTTGCTCAGCATATTTAAGATTAAGACAGTAGATAATCATATCTACTTATTTATAGAAATACAAGTTCGGAAAAGATAATTAGTCTGAAGTGTAAAGCGTCTTTAAGAAAAGACGATTATCCAAATTATTAGCGTGTTTTTAATTCATCCAAACAATGCACTGTTCGTCTTTAATAAAGACTTTCTTTTTCAAAAATTTGATCATAAAATCATTAGCATGACAACTGTTGAAAATATGTTGTTTTCAAAGGTGCTCACTGAAAAGTATAAATAATACAAATACATGCTAACTTGATCTACCTGCAGGAGAGTAAATTCATTTGGCAACCTCTAAAGTAACAGCAGCAGACAGAACTCCTTCTCTATCTCGTTCAAGCAAAGAGGTACGTATTCTCTGTAAATCAGGAAGTCGATAAACTACATTGTAAACCGGTTTATATTAAGTTTTAATTTCATAAGTTCCCAAATAGATACTACACATTAATATTGTTTGGATGAAACACATTGACAATAATTGACTTGATTACTATATTAGCCAGACATCTGCTAGAAATGCTTATCTTCATTTCTTCTTAACTTTTCTTGGAATGTCGTAGATCGAACTTGCAATTGAAATTTTAACTCGGTGTTTTAAGTCTTTACATAAAAAAAAGATATCGTAAATGCCTTCATTCCAGACATTCCATTTCTCATTGAAACTTTAGCAGTTGACTGTATTCAATATAAAGTTGATCTTTATGAAGAAAAAAAAAACAAAGCAGTTCTCTGTCGATGACAAACAGGGTTGAACAACAAAATACTTTCTACTTTATCTATACATTTGAACTCGATGACTTATATTTATTAGCAGTGTTATGTGCTTGATAATCCAGTCAGCAAACGTTGATCAAAGGTTGCATAATGCACCATTAATGCACTTGTGATAAATAGTCAAAGGGAGCTGTTTACTTAAACTTAGCTAACAGGTGTAGCAGTCTGAGCCCTCCTCTAGTCTGACTATTTCCAATTGTCTACGCCCAGTTGTATACGCATGCGCAAGTAATCGGTCACATCTGACATGTGTATGTTGCTGTCTGATTAGTCCGTCTTCAAATCTTTTCCGTCTGCGAAACAATATTCAAAGGTTTATCTCAACTAGCTCTATTTTTATGAAAATGAAGAATCCAGAATTACCATGACACTTTCTTTCCTGTTTTGTTGTTGACACTTTAACGTGATCAGCAAAGGCAGCATGAGCTTTTACGTGGCAACCTTCCTTGTAAACGTCGCGGAATTTCAATTAAATTTGAACTCAGAAATAAGTCTTACTGTATCAATTCTTAAGACAAAATATATTTTGCTCAGCATATTTAAGATTAAGACAGTAGATAATCATATCTACTTATTTATAGAAATACAAGTTCGGAAAAGATAATTAGTCTGAAGTGTAAAGCGTCTTTTGAAGAAAAAGACGATTATCCAAATTATTAGCGTGTTTTTAATTCATCCAAACAATGCACTGTTCGTCTTTAATAAAGACTTTCTTTTTTCACAAAATTTGATCGCGAAAATCATTAGCATGACAACTGTTGCAAATATGTTGTTTTCAAACGTGCTCACTGAAAAGTATAAAATAATACAAATACATGCTAACTTGATCTACCTGCAGGAGAGTAATTTCATTTGGCAACCTCTAAAGTAACAGCAGCAGACAGAAGTTTCTTCTCTAACTCGTTCAAGCAAAGAGGTACGTACATTCTGTAAATCAGGAAAACAATAAACTACACTTTAAGCCGGCTTATATTTTCAGTTTTATTTTCATAAGTTCCTAAATAGATATTACACTTTAATATTGTTTGGATTAAACACATTGATAATAATTGACTTGATTACTATATTAGCCAGACATCGGGTAGAAATGCTTATCTTCATTTCTCTTTAACTTTTCTTGGAATGTCGTAGATCGAAGTTGCAAATGAACTTTTAACTCGGTGTTTTAAGTCTTTACATAAAAAGGATTTCGTAAATGCCTTCATTCCAGACATTCCATTTCTCATTAAAACTTTAGCAGTTGACTGTATTCAGTACAAAGTTGATCTTTATGAAGAAAAAAAAAACAAAGCAGTTCTCTGTCGATGAAAAACAGGGTTGAACAAGAAAATACTTTCTATTTATTTATACATTTGAACTCGATCACTTATATTTATCAGCAGTGTTATGTGCTTGATAATCCAGTCAGCAAACGCTGATCAGAGGTTGCACAATGCGCCATTAATGCACCTGTGATAAATAGTCAAAGGGAGCTGTTTACATAAACTTAGCTAACAGGTGTAGCAATCTGAGCCCTACTCTAGTCTGACTATTCCCCAATTATCTACGCCCAGTTGTATACGCATGCGCAAATAAAATGTCACATCTGACATGTATATGTTGCTGTCTGAGTAGTCCGTTTTCGAATTTTTTCCGTCTGCGAAATAATATTCAAAGGTTTATATCAGCTACCTCTCTTTAATGAAAATGGCGCATCTAGAACTAAATGGCCGCACAGCCGAAGAATTTAATTTAGAGAGTCAGGAAGATCGTTTAAATGAACAGCAATCGTATAAACCATTAACAATCTCTATTTCATTCTATTAAAAAATCATTTTCCTCGTGTCTTGTCAGCCAGTTAAATAAACAAAACAAATGATGATTGATAAGCGTTATTAAATTTTGAGGTAATTTTGGTTCTGCGATAAGTAAGGTTTTCACGTGTTGATCTAAATAAAAGAGGAAAGTTGTATTTTTGTTTAATTTGATTCATTATTTTAACAAAGTTTTTTTTCAAAAATAAGCGATAAACGGTAAATTAACGACAAATATCAATGTGTGTACAGGCTAAGACTGTAAGAGTATTTAGATTGCTCTTACACGTGCTCAACTATCACCTTGTAGAGCACATGCGCTGTATGTGCAAGGAGGAGCGCTGAGACTTTGACATGTCAATTTAATGAGATGTGAAATGATTTTAGTCATGGAAAGAAGTGAAAACTTCAAGAGTAAAAATTACAACTTGTAAGTCACAAGATTTGTAATTCTCAAATCAAACCAAATTATTTGTTTTCAAATGTTTCTCATATTTATAAAGTTAGAACATTGCGAAATTGTTAAAGATAATTTTTTGATGACGACCATGGAATTTTTCCAATTTGCCTAAATCATTCAACGCTTCTATCTATTAATCCAGGCCACCTGGGCTCATGTAACCAGACATCTAAAAAAATAAAGATGCTATGTCCTAAAAGATTTTGAATTTTAAAATAACTATTAACTTAAGTCATTCAGAAAAAGAATTTCTATTTCAATGAAAACGATCATTATGACAAGAGTAAAATATTGTGTTTTTAACGTTCTGGAAAAGTATGAATATTGAACTATGATTTTAGTTATATTTGAAGCACTGATTTGTATATTTAGTTGTAACTGATGATATGAATCGATTCGCGGCACAATATCGTATTCAACTCGAACCGAGTTATACTCCAGGTATTTATATAGAGAGTACAGCAGTGGTGGAAATTCATTCTCCTACATGCAGGGGACTGTGGGTAAAGCTACGTGATCTATGAATTTTTAACAAAATTACTAAATTAAAAAGCTAAATTACTATTATTTGAGAAATGCTTATAAAACAACTTATTAAACATCCAAAAATATGTTTCAAAAAAAGATATTCTTCAAGACAGCCTATTTGATAAGTTTTAATATTGAGAATGTTATGTCTTGAGGAAATGTCGTAACTGGGATTACAACTAATTACCTTTAATTTTGGTTCGTGGAAATGTTCCGAACTCTTTGAAACTGTTATAATCTTTCGTTGGAATTTGCAAATGAGGTATTTCAGAATATTTCAAAAAAGCTAAAAATTTTCGACCAAGCAACAATTTAACCCCCACTCGAATTTCCAGCACTGGATTACATGCACTTAATTGAATTTTCTTTACAAAAATTAATGTACCAGCTTTTTGATAATGAGTAATGATTAATATTTTTAAGATGGCTATTTCAGCCCTGCTATCATTGTTCAAGGAGGAGGTTACAGCAACAAGGGACGTGAAACTTTAAGCTGTGAGGAATATCGTAACAAATTAAATGATTCAGCTATAGCAGGATATAATATATTAAAGGTAAGTATTGTTTGGTAGAAGATCTAAAGCAAAATTTTCAGAAATTCTTTGATTCGTACAAACAGTACGTTTTTTAGCTATTATAAATGCCAATGTATGTTTTTTTTCGTCCAAGTATAATGGTACTGCTGTTGATGCTGTTGAAAAGGCAGTTAGTGCTTTGGAGGATTGTGAGTTATTCCTAGCAGGATATGGATCTCCGTTGAATAAAGAGATGGAAGTTGAATGTGATGCAATGATTATGGATGGAAGCACCTTAGAAACAGGTTAAAATCATTGCGCACATGACGATATTTTAACCGAGAATTTAAAATGAACCTTAATTTACTGCATCTGGTGGCCATCACAAGTAACGTATGTTGTAAGGGAGAATTGTGTATAATAAAGAAAAGACACAAAAATGAAACTTTGCACTCTATTCAAAATAAGTTATAATAAAAAGGCTTTAAATATTTTTCTGTTGTTATAGGTGCAGTAATCTCGGGTCGACATTTCAAAAATCCGGTTTGCCTTTCTCGACAAATAATGGAAAAAACACCACACTGTGCTCTTAATGGTGATGGTGCTTTGAATTTTGCTATTGGTAACAATTTACCTTGTTGCGAACCAAAAGATTTGAGGACTCCAAATTATCGCTTTGATCCTTTCGTATTTGAGGAATTTGTAAAAACTGGCTATCGTTTTCATGGCGAGCCAAGAGATTCTGTCTGTGCCGTTGCAATTGATTCAAAAGGCCGTTTGGCAAGTGCTTTGTCATCAGGTAAAAACTGGTCTTGTAACTTGTCATCTTCAATGAGCAAACAAACCATAAGCATTATTTCCAGTAATTGTTTATTGTATCAGTTAAATTATTTTAATCAATATACCTTAAATTATTTAGGAGGCATTTGGGGAAAAATGAAAGGTCGTGTTGGCGACGTGCCATTTGTTGGTTGTGGTGGATATGCAAATGACAAAGGAGCAGCTGCAACAACTGGTCATGGAGAGAAGTTGATAAAATTGACTTTAGCAAGACAAGTTGTATTTGACATGGAAGCTGGAAGAAATGCTCAGGTAGGATAAGTAAGAGTAAATCGATTTTCATGTTTTTCTTTGGAAGTTATTTGAATTTATGGGTTTTAAACAGAGTCATCCCATAATGTGTGAATCATTTATCAGTGTTAGAGTTCTCCCAAAGTTCTACTCAATTTGCATAAGCCTGTGCAAACACAGCAAACGTGTTTTATTTCTTTATTGAAGGAAGCAGCGGAGAATGCTGTGAATTTACTTGAAACTAGACTGAGTGGACATGGAGGAGTAATTTCTATTGACTGTAATGGGAACATTGGAAAGGCATTTAATACTGATCTCATGGCTTGGGCAAGCATCAAACATAATGTATTGGAAGGTGGACTGGAAAAAAACGAATAAGCTACCACTAAGGCGCATCATAATATCTAAACTCATCAAAAGAATGCACGATACATTAATATCAACTGCGGCAACTTATTATGACCAGTAATCTCATTTTTATATTTACACATGCACGCGCAATCACACGTACATAACTATTGAAAGCACTACGTGTATGGTATATAGTGGACTATACAAAATAATATTTAATATATATACTGTTTTATTTGGTGTCATTCACAAATCATAATGTAATTGTTCACGTTGAAAAATTTCTCGTTCACCAGGTTTATGGTTTTTGTAGAGGATAAAGTTTTTGTTTTGATTGTTAACTAGCCTGCCTCCTGTGATCTGTTTTTTTAGTTCTAACATTTCATACCAATCTATCATTATCTTTTTTTGCGTTTTGGTTGTCATTTTAAAAAGCCGTCATTTTGTTAGAGACATTTTAGAGAAACAGCGCAGACCATCGTCATTTATACGACTAACATGGTACTCAGAACTTGGAAGCTTCAATGTCAATTGATTTGATGAAGCTCAAAGCCAGAATGTCTGAATCTAACAGAATATCAATGTCTCACAATTTACTAAACTATGACCTAAACTTGAGCCAACTATGAATTACTAATTAGTACCATCCAGACCCATAGTGACCACAAAGGATTTTTTTCTTAAATTATGAATGGTTTGTTACTTTGTTATCATGCATTATTGCAATGATAATTTATGAGGATAACAAACTTGAGGTTAGGCTTAAAATAAATAAACAAAGTAAGGATTACAACACATGATCACTAGTGTTCTATGGAATTTGTAGGTTAGAGCGAGTTTTTATCTAATGCAAGGGACTCTAAGAGGCTGTTCATGCACATTCGCCTGGTAACTAGAAATGATTTTGAGTCATTGAAAGGAGTATAAACTTAAAGCGCAAAACTTACAACTTTTCTTAAGGGTCAAAAGTTATTTTAGTCGTAAATTTCTAATCAGGCTAAATTATTTTTCCATTTAGCAGGTTCTGTGAATTGCAAAGTAAGATCATAGAGAAATTTCTCAAATAAGTTTTTTGTTGTGGAATATTTAATCTTTTCCATTTTCAAAAATGATTTAACGCTTCGCTGAATCCCGGCTGCCAGGTTCATGTGAACAGCCCTTAAACTCCATAGAACACAAGTGATCATGCTCTAACATCTTAAAACATGGCCAAAGCCATGAGTGTGTTAATTTAACTTACTTAGTATTTCTCTTTAAATGAACAATAAGACAATATCTAAATTAGTATTCCATCTGCGTATGTTGAGAATACTAATGACATTTAGAAAATACCAATGAGCCATTTTTCTTGAGCCCGCCCCAGAACATCAAAATACTGGATGCTGACTGGCCGAACGTAATAGTACCACAGATACTGTCAGTCAGTTATATAGTACAATGTTTTGAAATTTACAAACATTACTCCTAGTATGTTGTTTCTAAAACGCCTTTGGTTTTACTGAACTTTTTTTCCGTTCTCAACGACAAAAGACGTACTAAGACTGTAGCTTAATACTGCAATCAAGATAAAACCTGAAGCTCAATGAAAGTAGATTCACAGCGCAGAGAACCAATGACACTTCGCAATGAAACCTATTACAATAAATTATCCTTGTACCACTATATGAGACGCTGCAGCAAACCTTGATTCAATTTTCTTTGGCTGCCAATTATTAAGTAAGTGTCAAATAATTTATGAATTAATACTTTGAAGACTAAATTGTGTATAGTGCTTTAGTAGGAGGTAATTGTAAATTGTAAAATCCTTACAGTATAATTTGAAGATTCTGAACAAAAACGAAAAGCTTTAAATTTTCTTTTAACTTGTAGTAAAACATTAAATTAATTTATGTCACCAGTAATTGGTTTATAAATAAAAGTTTGATGACGCTAACATTGATAAGGAAACTCTGTGGGAAATATCTTCCAATCTTTGAGCATGTTGTTCGTTTATATTCATCTTTTCCAATATTTAAAACATCGTGGTTTTCATTTCTTTCATTTCTTTGGTCACTCTAGAAAGATTTTGTTCATCATTTCGTTCTTTAATTCCATTATTTCTTTCGTAGCCCGACCAGATACATCATTAATTTTTTTATTTATTTCAGTTCTATCTTGATCCATTTTTTTATTTATTTTAAACATCAGCATTTTCACTTGATCATAACTTCGTTGAAACATTTCTCTAATCTCTTCAAAGTCGTAAGAAGCAATCTTTCTGTATTCACATCACTCAGTTTCATGTTTAATCTTGTCTCGCTTGTTTATCTCCTTGTCACAACGTTCATTAGAACACAACACTGGAACAAAACCATAATTTTCAACATGTCGTTCAAGATCTTCAACATTTTTAAATTCTTTGCAACCACGAATAGCGTAGTCGCAATTGATTTTAACTTAGAAATCATATTATTTATAACACGCGCTGGATGAAGCGTAGCTACAGTTAAATCATCTTGACATTGAGGACATGATCAGTTTTCTTAAAATGAAAAAAGAAAACCCCGCGTCACCTATTGGCAACAATTATTTTTTTATTTCTCCAAATGACCGTAATTTTTCACTGGGGAGGCACTTTGACTATGAATTTGACAGCGACAAAGACATAATGAGCATCAGAGTGAACGGCAAAGTTATTAATGAGGACAATCTTCATTGCAGTCTTGTTGATATAAACATTGCACGTCGTCAAAAACGAAAACGGAAGCAAGTATGGAGCCAAGTGAAAAAAGGAAAAGCTGAATTCACTACACACCTGCAATAAACCTACAGGACTTGCATACACGGTGATGTAAGTGTCTTTTTGAGTATCGAAGTATGCTCATCCACGGTGATGTAAATATCTTTTTGAGTATTGAAGTATGCCATACATTCGTTTGCTGATAATGCAGATGTGAGAATGTGAAATGCCTTTTGATGCACATCTCGACATTGAAATTTCGTGTTCTTCTTTGTTAACTCGCGCAACGGTGCTGTTATTGCAGCAAAATTTGCGATGTATCGACTACTATAATTCGCCATGCCCAACAAACTTCTTATATCATAAATACTCTTAGGCGTTGGTGCATTTTGCAACTGTTCCACACGTTTGGGATCTGGTCGTGTTTCCTCTTCGGTAAAAACATCTCTGAAAAATTCAAAGCTTTTATTTAGATACCACTTTCTCTTTTCCAACATGGATGGTAAGACTGTAATTTTACCTGTCTTAGTGTCATACATGATAACACGGTTCCACATTTTTCTTCCATCATCATGACCTCCAAGAAGAACAACTTGATCTCTCCGTCAAACTTTTGCCATGTCAGCCAATGGATGAGGTAATGGAGGCATTTCCTTAAATGTAAGAGTCCTTAGATCAATCTCCAAAATATTTGAAAAATATTTGTCTTTTCTTCCCTGTCCTCCAAAAATAATAACTTTATCATCAAAAACAACAGGTCCATGGCCCCTACGTAGTTCATGCATATGACACAACTCTTTTAAAACATTAGATCTTGTACCTGTAATCTTTATTTCTTTGATTAAATCTGATTTTCCTTTACCAGCAATGTATCCTCCAAAGAAAAGGATTTGTTGTTTACAAACAATAGTTCGATGACGCCAATATTGATAAGGAAACTCTGTGGGAAATATCTTTCATGTCAAAGGAAACTGTTTTATATTCAATGTCTCTATTGACTTGAAACATGGTGGCTTTCATTTCTTTAATTTCTTTGGTCACTGTAGAAAGATTTTGTTCATAATCTTTTATTTTGTTCTTTAATTCCATTATTTCTTTCGTAGCCTGACCAGATACATCGTTAATTTTTTTATTTATTTCAGTTCTATCTTGATCCATTTTTTCATTTATTTTAACCATCAGCATTTCACTTTATGAAAACTTCGTTGAAACATTTCTCTAATCTCCTCAAAGTCGCGAGAAGCAATCTTTCTTTATTCACATAACTCAGTTTCATGTTTAATCTTGTCTCGTTTGTTTATCTCCTTGCCACAACGTTCATTAGAACACAACACTGGAGCAAAACCACAATTTTCAACATGTCGTTCAAGATCTTCGATATTTATTTCTTTAAATGGCCGTAATTTTTCACTGGGGAGGCACTTTGACTATAAATTTGACAGCGACAAAGACATAATTAGCATCAGAGTGAACGGCAGAGTTATGAACGAGTACAATCTTGATTGCAGTCTTGTTGATATAAACATTGCACGTCGTCAAAAACGAAAACGGAAGCAAGTATGGAGCCAAGTGAAAAAAGAAAAATCTGAAGTCACTAGACACTTGCAGATTAAAAAATGGATTAATTGAAAATCCAGATCATTTATTTGTCATGCCGGAAAGATTTATTTTGAGAATGCAATAAAAGTTAAAAGCGATGATATTTTTCTTTGCAATGGTGATTCAGGGGTGCTGGTCTTTTTTTACGACAAAAAAAAAACATAACAAAATGTTTTTTTAGCATATAGGGTTCTTCAGGAGAGCAGTAACACATACGTATGCCTAAATGTAGACACTGCGTTGGAAGCCCTGAACAAAGGAAATTGTGATTGGTACAAGATTTGTGGGCCTCTTTAAGCATCAGTGGTGTCATGTCTAATTCCTGAAGAATTATAAATTATGTTGATGGAATTCCGTGTGTTGCGAATATTTTATCTAGTTTCGGAATAACCGCTGCAGCTTTTGTTGATGGCACTAATTCTACTTCGGGGTACCTTGAGTATCTATCATTCACGACCAGCAGATACTTCCTGGAAGGTAAGGGACTGTAAAAATCAGCATGAATAGATTCCCACGGGCCTTTGGGAGTATTTGTCACATTCATTGGTTCGGGTGGTTGTGATTTTCCCACTGCTAGACACGGAATGCATTTCTCCAAGGGTTTCTTTTACCAATTGATCCATATTAGGGAACCATACTTTTTCTCTCAAGAGTGCTTTAGTTTTGGTTAGTTCCAAATGACAATTGTGTGTATCAATAGCTTTCTGCTGTAGACTTTTTGGGATGACAATTCTGGTACCTTTTCATCATCATCATCTTGCGGCCTCAGCCGAGATTGAACTCACGACATCTTTCCAGTATTATTTATCTTTCATAGCTGCTAACAGATTTTCCTTAGGAATTGTTGTGTCTCGTCTTATCCTATCTGGAAAGGTTAACTTGCGTGATCTATTCTCAGATGATGGGTGTCTCCAAAGCACAAATGATGACACTAGTTCATCAGTTGCACGTGCACAATGGCCAGCGAGCTGAACACGTCTCTTACAACCTAAGTTTAATACTCTTGGTAGGTCTCCATATATAGTTTCTAAAGTTGGGGGGTTTTGCCAAGAGAGATTGAGGAATCTTCTTAAGAGACGTGTATAACATCCATCTAAACGCTGCTGTTGTTTGGCTGAAAGAGTCCAAGTCTCAGAACCGTACAATAAGATGGGCTCAACAAGAACTCAAAAAATTTGGATTTTAAATTTCCGATCAAGGTTGGATTTCCAGATCTTATCAAATTTGTTGCAGGCAGTCCATGCAATACCTTTTCTGATGTTTAAGTCTTTCTCTGAGTTCTTCATGTGTGATCCTAGATACTTATTGTCTTCAACACATTTCAGAATATTTCCTGACAGTGTTTTGATCTCCTGATTGTTGCGGATGTTAACTGAAATAAATTCAGTCTTGGTTTCATTGAGATGAAGACCTGCACAGTTGGCTGCTGACTCAAGAGAAGAAAGGAGAGATTGGGATCCTTGGAGATTGTCAGACAGCAATGCAATGTCATCAGCAAAATCTGCATCAGTGATGTAGAGTGCAGGGTAGCGTGAGCTTTTTCTAGGCTGATACTTCCGGCCCTTTTCATTGATAGAATCTACTGACACACGCATGATGTAGTCTATCACAATTATATAAAGGAATTGTGCCAGTGTGTCACCTTGGAGAATGCCAGCCAGGATATCAAAGAGTTCAAGAATTTCAAACATGGTATCGCAGTTAACTGAGTCAAAGGCTTTACTGAAGTCTACAAAGATGAGAGCGGCAGTTTTATTGCAAAAAGTGATTTCCTCAATTATTCTACGCAATGTGAGAATTTGAACAAGAGTGGATCGGCCTGTGCGGAAGCCATTTTGATTATTGCGCAGAATAGGTTCAACTTCAGAGCCGATTCGGTTCAAAAGAAGCTTATTATAGATTTTTGCAGCTATAGGAAGCAAGGAGATACCGCGATAGTTAGTTGGCAACGTCATAGGAAGCAAGGAGATACCGCGATAGCTAGTTGGCAACGTCATAGGAAGCAAGGAGATACCGCGATAGTTAGTTGGCAACGTCAAATCACCTTTTTTGGGCATGGGAATGATTTGTGATCTTCACCAGATGGTTTGTGAAATATGGCTGGTCTTTGCATAATTGCAGAGATCAAGAAGTAATTGATGAAAGATAGGGTCTTTCCAGAGGTAGCTGGTATCTTGTCTGGTCCGAGAGTATTTTTCATTGGTTTCTTAAAGACATATTTCAACTCTGCACTTGTAAAAGGGCCTTTGATATATTTAAGGTTTGACTGACTCGAACTTTTGGAAGTGACATATTACCTGGAAGACTTGCGGGACTGCCCAGGAGGCGTTTAAAATGGGAGTGCCAATTAGCAAGTCGTTGCTCTCGGCTGCCACCCTTGACTGAAGGTGAGGGTTGTGAGCCTTTTCCTGCTAGTTGGTTTATCGTCTTCCAGGCTGCAGAGTGTTGTTGATTGCTATGAAGATGAGAAATTTTGGCTATTTCTCCTTTGATGTAAGCTCTGCAGTCTTTGACACTGTTACGCCACTTTTACGGACCATAATAAAGTCTAGTTGGGCTCTGCTGCCATTTGGATACTCGAAGGTCCATAAATGGTTCTTATTAAATCTAGTGTTAGTTGCAAAGAGACTAAATTCTTCAGCTAGGTCTACCAGATGCTCTCCGTTGCAATTGGTTTCTAACTGAAAGGTAAATTTGGCATCATGTGCTCCAAGTTTAGCGTTAAAGTTCCCTTCGACTAAGAGATAGTTGTGAGCAGGAACTTGCTCCAAGGAAGAACGCAAAGTGCTGTAAAAATCATTCGGTTCCTCTTCACTGATATTGTTGTGGGGACTATAGCAAGATGTCACTGTTGTGGTTGGGTTGCCTTTAAAGTCAGCAATAATAATCCTGGGAGATATCTTCTCTATGTGCAATACATTTTCCATAGCTGCTAGGGAAAGTTCGAAGCCTACACCTCCAACAGATGAGTTAACAGAGTTCTCACAAGATGATGCTGTAACGACATGATATTCTTCTATTTTCTGATACTCAATGTTTGTGTCAGGGTAGAAGAATCGATGCTCTTGAATAGCAATAATATCTATGTTCTTTACTTTGCACTTCTTACAAGTTCACTAAGACGAGATGGAGGATTCAATGTTCTAGTGTTGAAAGTGCTGATAATGGTACGTTTTCTACATTGCCTTTCCCTGGGGTTTTCTGCAGTAGAATGATGACGACCGGGCCCACCCTGCTGACCAATGGGACGCCTGCCGGACGTGGGACCTTCACCAGAAGTTCCAGCCCCATTCACGACGTTGTGAATACTAAGTTTGGTGTAGTTCATAATCTTGTCATAGCTGAATACTTGATGCTACGCTACGGCTATCAAGAATGTTTTTATCGTGACACCATCACTAGAAGGACTGCCGACCAAGGCTGAAGATATCCCTCTGCCCATGAAGCACGGTTATTCCCCGCCGAACGCCAACCCGAAAATTTCAAGACAACGGTGACTAATCGGATATTTCAAGAAATTTCGGAAATCTTGAAATATCGGAAATTTCAAGACCACAGGTACCTCTTAGTTTTACTACTTTTGTTGTAACGGACAGCTCGTCTTTGATTTGCTTGAATTGTTTAACTATATCAGAGTCCCACTGGTTCAATTTAACTGAAGCTCGAACCCCTTTTAAGACTTGATCTTCATCAGTCGCTTTTACGATTTCTTTGATTGTCATCGCTTTTGGAAGGTTGTTAAATGCAATGAAGTTTACATATTCTTCGGTCATTTGCTGTTGTTTGTGGTTCACTTGGACCGGATGTCTGGATAGATAATCAGCAGGGTTAGTAGATGATTTTGAATTCCGATTGCCATAGATAACCTCGAGAGGCTTATGGTCTGTTTTTAAAGTAAACTCGCAGTATGCCATACATTCATTTGCTGATAATGCAGATGTGAGATTTTGAAATGCTTTTTGGTGCACATCTCGCCATTTAAATTTCGTATTCTTCTTTGTTAACTCACGCAACGGTGTTGTTATTGTGGCAAAATTTGTGATGTATTAACTACTATAATTCGCCATGCCCAACAAACTTCTTACATCATGAATATTCTTAGGCCTTGGTGAATTTTGCAAATCGTTCACAAGTTGAGGATCTGGTCGCATTGAAAGAGGATTTGCATATCGTAAGAAAAACGCTCGTGGTTTTATGTTTGCTCACAGCATATAAGTATTCCTTTCCTTCAATACTGCTATCTGATTGATTGCCGTTGTCAATGGGTTTAAGTGGGTTTAAGGGACGTTTGCTGGAAGTATTTGCGTGTTCTTTACGTTGATCTTGTGTTGAATTATCTCGTTTAGGCTTACTGTGACAAACGCTCGAAATGTGGTTTTGTTTTTCCGCATTTATGGCAGGTTTTTCCTTTCGCCGGGCAAACGATTCAGATTGGATGGTGGCCAACGTGTCGTTATTTCTGTCCTTTGACTCGATATCCCGTGCTTGATAAGTGCTTTGCTCATCTCTTCGGCCGTCCAGCAAAATATCCCTGAGTTTATACTCGGGTTTTTTTAGTGCTTTCTTTCGTATCCGCAAAGAAGATCCCGCCATGATTATTTGTTGTTCAACCTCAAAATCAACGTTATGAGAAGCACATGTTTGAGCTAATTTCCTCAAACGCGTATGAAATTGGTCTAACGTTTCTGATTGTTCTTGTTTGGCTTCGCGAAATTTGTACACATTTAAGTTTTAAAGTGTTGTATTAACAGGCCTCCCTATAGGATTATCTTTTATCAAACCTTTTTTCAAGTGGGGGACGACGTCACCAAGGGATGTAACTCTCTGCAACGAGTCTTTTGTTCACCTTCTGTATTTCAACAAGTTAGAACTCATTTGAATATTCAAATATTACTTTCGGATGAGTTGGGGAGAACGAAACTCGAAGCTTTAAATAAAATGTTCAATGAAACAGCCATCAAGACAATCAAACATCAACGTTTGTATAGACCATGAAAACTATAAAATGTTCCAAATATTTAAATTCGTAAAAAGAATTGTAAGTTTTTATTAATGTTTATCCTCTCATTTATTCCCAATTTGTGTGATAAATTGTACAAATCTTCAAATTAAATTATGCATGAGCTACGAAGACCTCAACCTTCTAGCTAAGCAACGCGTTTGGAAAATTATTGTAAAAACTATTGAAAATTATTCTAAATAATTGTAAAAAGCATAGCCATAACGTAGGCAAGAAAGATTAAATATGACAAAAATAGTTCATTTTTTATTTTGAAAAATATTAGTTTCCTCCCCCGCTCAATTGTTACTATAAACACTATTTAATCTTTGGTTGCCATGGGAGAGATGTAAATATGGAGTCTGGTGTATCACGTTGAAGCCGAACTAAAATCAACGATTTTAGATTGTAACATCGATCAAAGCCATTTAAATCATGGCTGAATCGTAAGTGAAGAATTCTTTGTTATTCCAGGCAACTTTACATGGTTTTAATGCTTCTGAATTGTGATAAACACGGTTTTATATTTCATTAATAGAGTGAAAGTCGCCGTCCGCGTTCGACCTTTTAATACAAGGTAAAACGACAAGCTTTGTGTGTTTGTAAAGCAGGAATTTTAAGCAGGAATATTTATATCTTGGCAGGGAGAAGGACAGAAATGCGAAATGTTGTATCGACATGCCAAATAAAACGATGACTCGTATCAAAGATCCGGACAATCCCGGTATTTCACAATTGCTACCTGTTACATGAATATTTAGAATTGATCTTTTAACAGTAATTAGTTCCACACTAAGGTTTTTAAAATCTGTTTTGAATTCGTTAAGTTGACACGTGCAAAAGTTTATAAATGTTTCGCTTTTTTAGATCAACCGCCGAAAGAGGTGAGTCGTTTGTACTTTGTACGATCAAAGAATAACAAAGTACTTGGATATTACATCAGTTTTAGTTGAAAACACATGAAATGATTACCACAACAAAGTAACAAATTTTGTATTCTAATGTAAATAATAAAAATGTCTTCTTTCTATGTCATTAAACACGTTCTATCATCTATTGTGTAGTTTACGTTCGACTTTTCCTACTGGTAAGTACAAAATTTTCATACAAAATTTTCTTAGTGGGAATGTTTTGAATATTTCAACTTTCATTTTTCATACATTTTCACGTCAGGTCACATGATGGTTACGAAGTAAATAGTGAAGGTCTTTGCGTTCCCACTGATGCTAAATATGCAGACCAAAGAACTGTATTTGATGATCTGGGTCAGGGCGTGCTGAACAATGCATTTAAAGGTTCGTACAATGTCGAATAAACTCGCTCATTTCCCTGCCAAACGAAACATGAAACTTCCAAGTTTTAATTTCAACGAGAAACTTATGTGCTGTAGTGAAGTCTGTTTTGTAAGTTAACGCCATAATTACCGTTTTTTCTTTTAATGATAGTAAATTTGGCTTCGTGAAAAATCCTTAGTGAATAATCAGTTTTTTATATTTACATATCTTTCATCTATCGTTGACTCGTTATACCTTTTGTTTCTCTTGTTTTTAAAATACAAGCAAAGTGTTGAAAATGACTTACTAATGCTCAGTTGAATTAATGTGTAACTTAAGGAGCGTTTTTTTACTCGGCAAATTTTTTCTTGATCAACTGCGTTTTGAATTTTTCATGGGCTTGTCAATACACCAAAATTGTCTCATTAGTCATTTCTTTATTTTTTAATCGTCCGGATTATATAGGCTTAGATCCCAGCCATTGAGAGGATTATGTGTGTATATTAGATGATTAAAACAGCTCTTTGGAAGCATGTGTTTGAAATGAATCCCTTTTAATTTTGTTTTCGCGGAGGGTTCCGTAATGTTAGGTTTTGGATTTTATATTTTTTTTGATGGATAAGATTTTTGAAAAGCTATACATATTATATAAAAAATAGCTCGCAGCTTCTTTCCAGAGCTCAGACAACTTATTCCTTTCTTTAATTTAGGGTTCAATTGTTCGTTGTTTGCTTATGGACAGACGGGAGCTGGAAAATCTTATTCCATGGTTGGCTATGGCCCCAACAAGTAAGAATAAAAGCATGGTTTCTTCAAAAATGACAAGTATTGAAACTTTTTTTCCCTTCCAAAACTTGCACAATGAAGTGAGAACATAAAGTACAGCCATCTCAGTTTGTTCTCTACATTACACAGTCCATTGGTCTATTTGCGTAACATGTTCCCGGATATTGGGAATGTATACGTCAGTATTTATATAACGCAAATGTATTAAAGTATCATTCCATTCCATTATTTTCTAATTCTAAGAATGCAGTCCCATTGCTCATGTAGAACTGAAGGATTTTCCATTGTCTTTTTTTAACAAGTGTAAACTTAGTCATAGGCTTTCTTCATTTCATGAACGATTTTTTCGATCTTAAGGAATATTCTTCATTATGTATGCAAGAAGTTGCTACATAAAAAGAAATATGTTGGATTACATATAATTGTACATATAATTTTAATATTGGATAGGGTAAAATGAAAATCCAATTCATTCAATGATTGGTGAAAGTAAAAAAAGTTGGGATGGCTTTTTTGTTACCTTTTTTCCGTTTGTTTCTCTTCTGTACCAACCCTCTGTATAGATATTGAACTTTTTCTTGTTTTCAATTCAATAAAACATGATTTATATTTTAGAGGTATTGTACCAATCACTTGTGACGAACTTTTCAAAAGTATTACAGAAAACCAGGACAAAGCAAACACAGTATGTATAACGAAATGAAGTTTTCTTTTCATCATATGAACATTGTTTTCTGACTGGTAACTTTCGATAAAAATGGGACAAAAATGTGCTAAAAACATGACTAGAATTTGCCCGAAACCTGACTCAAGCTTGGATGAAACGCGACTAAAAACCAAATGTTTGGCGTTTCGTCGACCCTCGCTCAAGTTGTACGATTTATTTGGTGCTTTTGTAAAAGTTTTGTTCTACAACTAAAAAAGAACCATTTAAAATATCCATGTCTTTATACTAGCGTTCTTTTACAGCGTTATGAAGTAACCTTCAGTATGTTGGAAATCTATAATGAACAAGTGCGTGATTTACTAACGAAGGATAATCCTAAAGGTGGTTTGCAAGTAAGTCTTAATTTTTTCATGAAATGAATATTTGGATGTTTATATATTGAATCATTTCTTCCATTTTTCGTGAAGGTTCGTCAGAATCCCAAATTGGGATCGTTTTTCGTACAAGGTTTAAAGAAAGTGGCGGTTGGAAGCTACAAAGAAATCGAGAAACGAACAGAAGAAGGTGAACAATAGTGGATAATAAGTTCATTTTTTCAGTCAATACCCAAATTACCCATACACCCCCTCTTTCAGGAACGTCAAATAGGACGGTAGCCGCAACGCAGATGAATGCCACTAGCTCACGGGCTCATACTGTTGTGACAGTGACTTTTGATCAGATCAGCAAAAATGACTCGGGACAGGAGACGAAGAAAAGCAGTACCATCAACTTGGTTGATTTGGCAGGTAGGATTTTGTGTCTTTCAATCCTCGAGAGGGCTTAGTTAGGACGTACTTCAGTTCCAACGTGCATGCGCATTTTTAGCGTTTTAGTAATGGCGTCAATGTAAGTGTATAGTTAAATTAATGAAATGCTGGTAGATGTTGATGAACCAGGTTAGTGCAGTCATCATCAACACCAACAGTCCTTCTCAAGACTCCACTAACCTGAACGATACACATTTACAAACATTTAAACATACTTTTGGGTTCAAACCATTCCCTTTTTTAGGATTATCGCGCTTTCAATTTGCAAAAGCTTCTTGCCGAAAAATTATATAATTACAACAAAAACAAACGTTGCGTTTTACGTATTTTTATTTGTTTTGATTTTATTTTCAATTAAGAAATAAAAGATGATTACTGCGTTTGCGCAGGCTTACGAAAACCGAGGAGATCTTTGGGAGAACACGAAAGCACATTAGTGCAAGCCCGAGACCGAAGTTCTTACAAACATCTCCGAGGTTTGCTTAAGCCAGTGCAAACATGAAAAACATCTTTTACTTCTTTTATAAAATAACAACAATGCGAAAAAGTCAAATTTAAAACAAATGTTTTAATTTTCCTCTAAAATATATTCATGATCGACTTGCAAATTCTCTTTGACTGATTTAATTAATTGAGCTCAATACAATTTGCACAGGCTTAAGCTAACTCAGCTATTATCCAATCAGCTCACGCGTTGTATTGTTTCATTTTGTAATTTCAATTGAATTGTCACGTGACTAACCACTCTCCATTTAAGGTAGCGAAAGAGCGGATAGTACGGGAGCCACAGGTGATCGTTTGAAAGAAGGCGCAAATATCAACAAAAGTTTATCAGCTTTGGGCAATGTTATTTCTGCCTTGGCTGATCTTTCCATGGGAAAAAAGAAAATCATGGTACCTTATAGAGACTCTGTTCTCACTAAATTACTTCAGAATGCTCTAGGTGGGAACAGTAAGACGATTATGATCGCAGCGTTATCGCCTGCAGATATAAACTATGATGAAACACTTAGTACACTGAGGTAAGGGATCATTTAGTACACTGTAGGATATACTTAGTACACTGTAGGAAACATTTAGTATAATAAGGTGAGGGATCATTTTAGTATACTAAGGTGAGGGACCAGTTAGTACAATATAGGGAACACTTAGTACACTAAGGTGAGGGATCGTTTAGGGCACTGTAGGGAACTCATTGTATACTTAGGTTAGGGATTGTGTTGGAAAAATAAGAAGAGAGACCATTTTGCGCACTAAGATGAGGGAATATTCAGTACAATGTATGGAATACTTAGTATACTAAAGTGAGGCATCATTTAGTACGCTGAGCTTAGGGATCATTTATTACGCAGAAGTGGAGAATCGTTTGGCACACTATAGAAAGGGAACACTTCTAAGCATTCTAGTGAGAGAAAATTTATAGCAACGTAGTAAAGAGACACTTGTTACACTAATGAAAACACTTAGTACACCGAGATTAAGATCACTAAGACAAGAGAGAAAGGATTGGTGTTGTTGGTTTTAGGAATCAATTACTTGTCATAAACATTCCTTCATAGATATGCTGATCGTGCAAAAAAAATCAAAAATAAAGCGGTCGTCAATGAGAATCCGATGGACAAGTTGATCCGGGAACTTAGAGAGGAAAACGAAAAGTTAAAAAAGTTCCTTGACGGAGGTGGAGCAACCATACAAGATGTGAGTGGTCGGGGTGCTGCAATGAGTGCTGAAGGTCGGTGTAGTTAAAGGACACTTAGGGGCAGGGAGGGTGAATCGTCTGGTCTTCATACGTTTTTATTTTCTGGCAACAGAGAAGGAAAAGATGCGAAAAGAGATGGAAGCTGAGATTCGCGCCCAGCTCGCAGCCAATCAGGAAGCAATGCAGAGTTGGGATGAAAAGGTTCGTCTGTGGACATTAAGGGTTTTTTGTAGGTACTTTAGTATGTCTGTCACCTGGACGGAAACTGCGTAAATTTTCGTTTAAAATCAGCAAAATCATTTATTTATACAATAATAATTCCTAAAAGAAAACGTCAGTGACCCTCAGATTATTCTCGTGCTGTTTTTGTCTGTGTTTATAGCTGGAAAAATCACGTAGTGAAGAGGTTAATGACTCGTCCCAGTCCAAAATTGCCGATATTCCTCATTTGGTGAACTTGAACGAAGATCCCATGTTGTCTGGAGTGGTTAGACATTTTCTCGAAGGAGGTAAGATGACGTAATCGTCAAATCAGTGACGTTTATTATCTCACACGTAACGATTATTTTAACTACAGACGAGATTACTGTTGGTCGTAAGGATGCTGATCCAGCACCAATTATAACTCTCAGTGGACTAAGGTAAGAAGAAATTTGTCAAGAGATTAACAGAGCATATGTTATTCTTCTGACGTCATTCATCTGCTTCTCGTGTGATGTCATTGACTAAGTTTAATTTGTTTTTGTTATGTAGAGGATATTTGTTGTTTGCTACAGAGTACAGAGGCAATTTACACTGTTCTTGTGCCCTATATGAAACAATGATTTCAAACAACTATCCTAGTTTTACGTTATTTTTGGGATTAGAATCGTTTTGATCTCATAAATGGTAACATCCCGTTTGTTGCGGTCCTATAAGGACATATGGATACTTATAGTGTAACATAAGGTTATGGTCTAAGATGTAGTCTTTGTTACAGACTTTGATCAACTATTTTCTCTCATTTCTTTCAGCATTCAAAAGCAACACGCCATTATCACGGTGAAAAATGGCGAGATTACTGTAAAACCAGCAGCACAGGGAGCAAAAACTAAAGTAAACGGAATGCCGTTACCTGGAGAACGGGTGTTGAAACACCTCGACAGAGTTTTATTTGGTCAGTAAAATAAATATAAACATAAGTTTTTGAACGCTGTAAACAATTTTAAAGTATCATTTGTCTTGATAGTAGCGAAGTCAGCTCGTTTTTTATTCCAACATTGTAATTAGTATTCTATTCAATCACAAAAGAAAAAAGGAAGGTTGCTGATTTACTTGAAAAAATGATCAATAAATTTGCTGAGAAATTGCATTGCAGGAGTAAAAATTCGGGCTGAAGTTGCTGCTGTAAATTGGAAATAGTTGGAAATTGAAAAAGAAATGCCTACACAGCAATTCTCCTTTTAATTTGCTGTGATTGAAACAAAGATGAATTAAGTTGTATTAGGATTAAAACAGATGACAAGTGGATATAATGGTAGTAGAATACAAGGGACGAGAATATGGAACAGGTTCAACTTTTCACACAAAGTTCTTTTTCTGTAGGTTCAAACCACCTTTATTATCTTGTCAATCCAAAGAATACGGAAAAGAGTGAAGGATCCCCGGATGAAGTGGACTGGAACTACGCGCAAAAGGAGATGGCAGAGGCAACTGGTTTTCAAACTGGTTTTGGAACCGGCTTGTCTAAAGGTAGATTTTATGTTTCGAGACTGACATCTTTAAGACAGTTATCATTTAGGAGCCTTAAGAACAGTGGCGTAGCCAGCCCGCAAGTTTGGTCCTTCTATGTTAATTTTTCTGTGTTAACTCACTGTAAAAATAACAGATTTCTAAAGAAATGTTAATAATTCTTAATGATGTAAAACTTACATATCAAGAACAAAACTTGCGGGCTGGCTACACCACTGCTAAGAAAGATCTAAAAGATCTCGATGATTCACTCAAAATTCAAATAACTTTCAGTAAGCATCACTTCTATTTCTTCCTGTTTATTCAAGAACAACAACTCGCCCAAGAACAAGTGTTGGAATTACTTCCTCTGGTCGGCGAAGCAAACGCAGTCAGTGAAGAACTGGACAAACACAAGTAGTTGGAATTTAATGCAGTTTTATTTAAAATTACTTAGAAGTTATGTTTATCACCTTTACTATGATTTTACTAGGAACTTCGAGCTCGTTCTAATCTCTGGTGCTGCTCAAGGAAATCTAACTGGAAGCACAAAGTGGGTGCATAATTAATTCAACTTCGTAATATTTCTAGTGCATTCTAAGTTCTACCTAATATATTTTAAACAATCGAATTAAGATTGTGTAAACTTTACATGAACACGGAACAGTTTATTTTTTGGAAAGATGTTTACTAAAAATACTAGAATCTGACGTATTAATGGCTGATTACAAGAGCCCGGGCAGCCAGGATTCAGCTAAATTGAAATAAATCCGTGTTTTCCATCACGCGATACCAATCCCAATTCCAATAACTAACAAATATATCGATCATAGCCTAATACTATTGGATAAAAGGTTAGGTTAAGGATCAGTTTTGCATACTTAAAAGTATGCACAGAATTATCACCAACAACCCATTAAGTGACCATAAAAAGATTGACTTTTGAAATTTTTACTATTATTCTTATAGAGTTATGGTCAAAATGACCGATCTTCTGAATGGCAACTCGTGGCTCTGGGATCGTGGAAAGTTCATGAATAGACGTTATTTAATGCAGGTGAAAATACTGACTTATCAAGCATTGTTTCCTTGTTCTTTCTCTTTTTGACGTCATCCCTCTGATCTCTTTTGCAGGATCTTTACCAACGTTACCTGGATGGAGACTCGACCGTCGCCAACATTCCTCAAGAGGAAGATCCATTTTGGGAGCCACTGGAAGACGTTTTGGTTGGTACGGCTAATGTCTTCTTGCAAAGTCTTGCTTACGCTCTGGATTTTGACGATAAACTCAGCGTTACAGATTACAAGGTAAAGTTGCGAATGTCAAGGTTGTAAATCCACTGGTTTTTTAATGGAAGGGGGCTCACCTCCAAAATTCAAAGTCAACTGGAATGTTGCAAAGGACTACAAGATTAAATTGGGGGGGAGGGGAAGCTGGAGGATTTTTGGGTGCCCAACCATAATTTGAACTGAACACAATGGTAAAAGTGCGAAGGGCCGTGAAGGTCATATAGTCGGGAGGAAGGGGGGAGTGCCCTTTCCCAAATTAAAATATAATTGAAAGATGAGAACCCTCCTCCCCCCCGAATCAAAGTTAACAGTACATGTTTGGAAGAAAATTGAGATTTTCTTTCTGCTCGTGCTTCCACAGGGAGGGGAACAAGCTTCAATGTATGTGAATGTTACGCCATGTAATCAAAATGGAAAGTCTCTTGATGAAGATTATTTTGTTGATGACAGCAAGGAGTTATTGGGAAAACCATATCATTATAAAGTAAGGATTATTGTTCTCTTCTCTTAAATTCTGTGCAAACTGTTTTCCGTTATGTTTCGAATCAACTTCATTCTAGCCACTGAATGAACTAGTTTAGCTTGTCGATATTACTCATTAACATAATATGCGTAAAATGAACACTAGCGTAGACACTTATTAAGGCCTGCTATGCTACGTTTTCCATTTTAACTCACTTTACACTTGTAATAGTTAAGCGCGTATACCAAGTTAAGCCAGGCTCAACAAAGGGTATCTTCGCCGTACAAAACATTTACGTCACTTAAAATGCCAACGAAATCACCAGTACTGTACGGTCCTTTTATACTTTCCTGATTACGGCCCTTTTATACTTTCCGAAAGCAATTTTTTGTGCAGTAATCAAATTCTCTGAATTCTCTACCCGCTCGGCACCTAATTGGCCGGCCACAAAATAATTTTCCGCAGGATAAATCAACGGAAGTTTTCTTTTCCTTAAATCTTCCCAGGTCACGATTCGCACGGCCGAGGTTCGCAACTCGCGGTTCTCGAAAGGTCTCTACGTCAAGTACAAAACTTTCGATCAAACGGAAGAGTTCACGAAATCTCCGGTCGTCAAAGATTCTCTATCCCCGGAGTTTAATCACTCTACGATATTCTCGTTTCCCGCCATACGAGATGAGCATCTGGAATGGTTCGAGAATGGTTGCATTACGCTCATGTTGTACGCAATACAGAAGGAGTCACTCGCTGATTCAAGACTCTCAAAGATGACAACAAAGGTACATAAAACTGAAGGGGGAGGGGTGGTGGAAAAAAAGCTGTATTTGATTATTACCTGAAGAACGCAATTGCCATAGTGAATGGCCAAAAATTTAAGAGTTCCCAAGAGTTCTGAAAATAAGTGAAAACTCAAGAAAACCAATGGAAATCCACGAGCTCTAAAAAAATGTTTAGGATTTAGAACTTCACACGAATATTCTGCGAATAACAGTTTTAGATCACAATGCATTTCAGCAGACAACTTGTCACGTGTCAACGTCTGCCTACGACACCCCCACCCTTGATCTGCCCCTGTCTACTGTACAAATAATACACGCTTACTTTTCAATCAAGAATTTGACGTATCAATGATTTCTTTTCAGGAATTACGTCAAATGGATCAATACAAAAGAACCGATAGGAACCCATCTTTGAGGAGAAGTGTTTCCATGAAAGTGGAAACGAATGAAATTTCCCAACTGAAATCGGAAATCATTTTGTTGAAACGACAAAATGAGAGACTTTTAAAGAAAGAGAAACGACTGCAGGTTATGTACAAATATTGTGGACATGTCCTTTGTTTGACATGGCGCAGCTCAATATTTTTTTGTTTTCTACAGAGTTTATGCGAAGAATGGGCAAAGAAACCATCGCCCGAACAAGATTTTGCCGCCTTTCATCGTCAAGTATCTGCTGCCGCATACCATCAGAGTGGCAGGCTCAAATATCGTGTTCATATGTTACAAGCGGTACGAGCGTGAAACTAGAGTATTTCTGTGTAGTGTGGTTTCAACAGTAGAGGGGAAAGTTTTGGTTTGATTATTAGATTCAATCTTAAGGTTTTTATCATTGTATTTCTGATTTAGTTAGATTCATCATGTTTCTGGCGCAAATTAGCTAAAAATTCGCAATGATATAATGTTTGAAAATTAGTGATTATCATTTGTTCGTTAATTTACTGAATAGCATCATGAAATGATGACATTGATGATGCAATTAGAAGACTAGATAAATTATTTAATTTAATGATTATAAATTAGATCGTATATGGTTAAGTGATTAGTTAGATTATGTTGTTCGGTATGTTTGCAGCACATTATATTGTTATATGTCTAAGACGAGCGATTTGGTTTGCAATCTGGAAAATGTCATCCCCTTGAGTGAGAAGTTGACCACTCAGTAACCAGGAAAAATCCAAATAAACCATACAAATGCTATGCTTTAAGGCCAAGATACCGCTGGACTAAGCAAAAATAGATGTGCCTGCGTACATGACTGTGGCCAGTTAATAAAATTGACACGTTGTTTTCAAAAAAAACTATAGCAGTATACTGAGTTCTTCATTTATACAGTTTGCTCAAGAAAAGCTTGCTCGGGAAAATCATCGCTTTCTTTCATTAATAAGTGTTTAGCAAAATTTTATACTCCATTTATTGATTTTTATTTGTGTTCAAATACAACGTTACTTTGTCGCTCTTAACTTTACAAAATATTTGAGATGTTCAGAGAAAAGACTTGTTATGATTTTACAACATTGCCTTTTTTCATTATAGCTACTCAAGGCTCAACCTGCAATCGAAGCCAACGGCCAGGCGAAACTGGATGAACCGAAAAAGGGTGGTGCGGGAAGTCGCGCATGCTCTGTCATGTAATTTCGCGTGTGATGTGTAGGATTCAAGAGAAAGATTGAACCGCAACGTGCAATGTAATTGAACGTATGTTTATATCTTTCGCATTTGTAAGTATTAAAACAATGAAGTATGCATCGCTACTTGGGATTGTGGAGCAATTAAATATATAATTATTTTACCATCATAGAAATAAATTATTCCTTCCCTGAAAGGTCTGCAACTATAATGGAACCTTACGATGTCCTATTTGGTTTGCTTCAGTTTGCACTTGATAAAAACAAATAAGTTTGGCAATTTTCCCTTTTATTTTTAAAGTACACAAAGTTAAAATATCTATTTGACTTGCATAAATTACCATAAAGAATCAAAACTTGTTTTATGAATACATTTGTTAAGACTTGGTTGTGCTTATAAATTTAAACGTTTCTTCGAAGAGCGTATTTGTAATGATACATGAGAACTGGGTAGTTAAGAAAAACTGTTAAAAAATTAGAGATAAAGTTTAGTCTGCCTTTGTGTCTAACTTTTTGTGCCTTCGTGTGTACCTTTTGTGTAACTTTTTGAAAACCTTTTTATCAACTTATGTGTCTACCTGTGCGTCTACATTTGTATCTACATTTAGGTCTTCCTTTATGTCAACCTTTGTGCTATCTTTATGTCTTCCTTTATGTCTACCTTTGTGTCTACCTAAATGTCTACCTTTGTGTCTACCTAAATGTCTACCTTTGTGTCTATCTAAATGTCTACCTTTGTGTCTACCTAAATGTCTACCTTTGTGTCTATCTAAATGTCTACCTTTGTGTCTACTTAAATGTCTACGTTTGTGTCTATCTAAATGTCTACCTTTGTGTCTACCTAAATGTCTATCTTTGTGTCTACCTAAATATCTACCTTTGTGTCTATCTAAATGTCTACCTTTGTGTCTACCTAAATGTCTACCTTTGTGTCTACCTAAATGTTCATCTTTGTGTCTACCTAAATGTCTACCTTTGTGTCTATCTAAATGTCTACCTTTGTGTCTACCTAAAGGTCTATCTTTGTGTCTACCTAAATATCTACCTTTGTGTCTATCTAAATGTCTACCTTTGTGTCTACCTAAATGTCTACCTTTGTGTCTACCTAAATGTTCACCTTTGTGTCTACCTAAATGTCTACCTTTGTGTCTATCTAAATGTCTACCTTTGTGTCTACCTAAAGGTCTACCTTTGTGTCTACCTAAATGTCTACCTTTGTGTCTATCTAAATGTCTACCTTTGTGTCTATCTAAATGTCTACCTTTGTGTCTACCTAAATGTCTACCTTTGTGTCTACCTAAATGTCTACCTTTGTGTCTAGCTAAATGTCTACCTTTGTGTCTACCTTTTGTGTACCTTCGTATTTTCTTTTTAAACAGCCTTTTTTTGTCTACCTTTTTGTCTAAAATTTTTAATAGGTTTGTGTTTACTTTGAAGTGTAACTTTTTGTCTTACGTTTTGACTAAATTGTGTCTGTCAAAGTTTCCGACACGAGTGACTCTTCTGTACATTCTTATTTTGTGCTTAGGGGCTAATTATATGAGCCTGGGTAGCTGGGATTCAGTCAAGCGTCGAATGCTTTTGGCAACTGGAAACGATTTGACACTTATCGTCAGATAAATCTTCACGAGCAATGTCACAATATTCTGATTTTATTACTACGCAAAACTTTTAAAATTAAAACCAGTTTGGCCTAGTTTGAGAATTACAACCGGACTGACGTGTGGTGCTTCGCGAACAGTTGTAATTTTTAACCTTGAAGTTTTGGCTCCTTTCAATCCCTTGAAATCTACGGGCTAGCTCACTATCCGTGCCAACTCGCCTCCATATAATCAGGCCTTTAAGCGTAAGGCACTAGAACGCCACATCTGCATGTTAAAGTTTCGTTAGGAGATTTCATCCCCTCCACTCTATCCTACTTCTTGTTGTTCATCATGATGTATAACAAAATTTTACGCTAATGTATACAAGTCTAATTGAGTCTACTGTCATTTTTTTTCAGATACGTTCATAATGCCTGTGCTACATTTAAAATAAATGACATACCTACCCATGAAGATATATTTATACCCATTTCATGGTCAATCTTTTATCACTATGGCTTAAAGTTTTAACATGATCTTGAAAGTAGATACCACGATGGATGGTAGAGCTCTTTTAAATTCTTAGAAATTACCATGTTACAGCGCACGATGCATTTTACAAGAGTTCGTATTTCTTTAAAGAAGACGCGTAGCTTATTTGCTTTGACGAGAAGTTCTGTGTCGACTGAAGAGAACTCTACAGAACTGCATCGGCATCGCGTTTATTGCTATGTCTCCTTTTAGGTGTGTAAAAAGCTCAATATTTAATTGTGCAAGGTCATATTTATATAGGCATTTCATAATCCACCGAAAATAATGTTTTCGAAGAAATTTAATTCGTCAGAGAATTTATTCATGAATATTTTGTACCCTCTCCCCTACTCTCCTCCTCCCCTACTCCCCACAATTATTGATCTTCCAATGTACATTATTGAATTTACTATTTAAAGGTTTAAACGGTTCTTAAGAGCTCTACCGTTCATATTCGTGTCTGCAACCGTGCATGTTGTCGCGCGTGTTGTGGGTTGCGATGCACGAGTTTCGCGAAGGTGCACGTACACATCACGTACTCCACAGTTTCTTATTCCATTAACCCTATGTTGCAAAATATTTTTCGCCGAGTAGGCTCCATCGTGTTCGGTGATTGTTGCTCTGAAGCAACGCCATGCAGCAAAAGGTTAAGTTGTAGATTTTTGCTGTAGGTCGTATTAATATTCAAACAGCGGAAATATTCATGCAGTAAGTCTTTTTGTATTTTGGAGCGATCACGTCTTGCGTTCTCGACGGATGTGAAAATTTCCTCAATATTTTCTTAGATTTCATCTTCGTTACAACCGAAAGCATCTCCCACATGATATGCATAATCCGTCGCAGAGATTTTACACTTCTTGCTGGCATTATAGATACATTGTGCATAAGATATCTACAGATATCATAATTTCTTAATAGCACTATATATGTCAGGCATTTCAAGTGAATGACACGTTTTTTAAAATAAACATGTTTCGACATGCTTATGCCATTTTGAAAGACACCATCCCTCCTTACTTTAAAAACATGCGTAGTATTCGAATTCTCATGCGCGGGATGTAATTCCCATTATATTGGTGAGACAAGTTGCCATCTCTCCACACGCATCAAAGAGCACAAACATTCTGACAAAAATTTCACACATTTACAAACACCTCCACACTTCACCACAATGTAAAACCAAATACAATCATTCTTGTTTTCGCATCCTAGACACTGCTAACTCTTCTTTCTCTTTAAAACTCAAGATAGCGCTCTACTTAAAAAAAACTCAAACTGAGCCTCAATAAGCAAATACATCACATCAGCACGATATTCAACTTTTAAATAATTCAATCACCTATAATAATTTGATACACTCTATAAATAAAACTGTAAATAGATAGCACAGTCATTCCTTGTACTGAAGATGGCATAAGCAAGCCGAAACTTGTTTACTTTAAAAAAAACTTGTCGCTCACTTGAAATGCCTGATATTGACATCATACGGTTTCTTTATTTTCAATATGTTGTTCTTTGACACAACTCTCTGCATGGAGTAATGTTCGACAAATACTTATTTAAGGATGGCAGATGTTTTTCAAGGTTATTCCGTTTATCGCAGTATTTCTCTTTCTGGAGATGAATGCAATTCTTTATTAGTGGTTCCACTATCAAAATTTTGAGTTGGAAAATAAGCTTTCATTTGTTAAATGGGATACCAGTCACTACTTCGATTCACCAATATGGTGAAGATAAGATTTTAACAAAATTCTAAATATGAAATCGTTTCAAGTTCTCAGTTTTTAAAAAAAACGTAACTGTAAATTTTAGCTTCGTGCCACATGGTGCCACATCTGGCGTCAAGACATTTTTGTGGTACGTATTGATCTCGGAATGAAGAAAATTTTCATAAATTATAAAAGCACGACATGACGTCGTCATACTGTACGATTACCAATAGAGCAATTATGGAGTTTACAATATATCTCTGTGTTGCACATTAAGAAAGTATTTATTTCCTGCTCATTTATATGTCGGTGGAAGTCAGAAGATGCACGTTAAATCTGATAAACGGCTTCTTCAAAACACCATAATTCATTTCGCAGAGAAACTTAAAGTTTTGGATCTTGTAACATGAATATTTACGAAGGTCTGAATTCTTTTTCATCCTACAAATTTGTTTGGAATAAGTGCGAATTTCCTCTCATCGATTTCGTTCAATTTTATCCATTTCCTCAAATAGTTCAGGTAAGTCGTTTTAAGTTTTCGATGATGTATAGTATATAGCATGACTATTTTTATTCTGAAGCTGCATGCTATTTCTGTTAATCATTTATCATGAATTCAATTTATTGATTTATTGATGATGTATTCAACAGGAATTGACTGATGTTAACACTTAACGACACTATTTAATGTACTTTACTTCTTCATCCGGAGCTATCTAATGCTAAAACTTGAGTCCTTACATACTCCAGTCAGGACCATTCTAGTTCTTTATCAGGAGTGATCTGATGTTGAAACTTGAGTTGTTATATACTCCAGTCTCCAGTCTTTATCAGGAGTGATCTGATGTTTAAACATCTGTTCTTATATACTCCAGTCTAGTGTCTTCATCAGTAATGATCTGATGCTGAAACGTGTGTTCTTTTGCATTTTCGTAGATGATATTACAGTTAAAATAAAATGTATATTGTTTGAATATTACATACATAGTGAATGAACTGTAATGTAACAGTGTCCATATCCTCATAAACTGACTAAACGTGTGTCTGAAGCGCTCTGACATATCAAATATGTTGAAAGTACGTAATTTCTTAACTATTTTTCTTTTGAAACATAGATTAAGGACGGTTTTTGTGGGAGCAGCGAAGAAACGTCGTATCTGAAGGAGATGTTCTTTATCTACACGACCTCAAAGAAACTCAATGTTTTCAAGCGCAAACAGAATGTGGCAAGGATGCTCAAATTCCATTAAACCTCTCACAAAAAGTCAATGTGTGTTATGAAAAATCTTTAAAAGACGTGAAATCGCCAATGATCTTGAAAACTTTGTTCCCTGACAAGTATAAAAAAGTTCATCTTCAAAGTAACCTGAAAAATTATCTGGACAATGACGATGTTTATTTCGCTGGCGATACTTTAGATGTTGTTGAATTTGATATTTCAAGAAAGCAATTGGTTTGTTTGAACAAGGAAAACCTTTATGTAAGGTTTAGTATGCGTCAACTGGTTCATATGAAAGTCACAGATATAACAACAGCTTCGTTTTTCCTTGCCGAAGTATATAAAAGATTCAACTTACCTGTGATTGTTTTGTTTGGACAAAAGGCGAAATTTAAAGGTTTAGTCACTTTAAAAAAAGTTATAACCTTGCAAACTGTTATAGCCTCCAGCTGGCACGAAGATGGTAGGACAATTTTGACTTTTCCCGCTGACCTCGAGATTTCAGTGGTGCCACCTTCCCAGGAAACGATGTACGATCTTACGTATCGCAGGCTCTTGGATGGAGTGCACAAGCGCTTAAATTTTGATAAAATTGAAGAAACAATTGGGCCTTGCGAGGTGTATATTTTTGTTTTGTTTTACACTTAAATGTTTTGTTGATGTAAAAAATGGTCGATCTGAATTTTCTTGTCGCGAACTTTTGTAAGGCTATTTTAGTTCTGTCTTACATCACGTTTCACTTTTATGCCTTTTCGTTCTTTACCATTACGAGAAGGAAACAGCAAAGAGCCTGGGAACGAGATGTAGTTGACAATAGTCATTATTGTAAAAATATACATCACCTTTGCATATTGTTCCTTCTATAAAAACTAAATGAATTTTTTCTCATTGAAATGGCAATATTGCGCTGCACAGTGCCGAATGTAAAAGCAAATTTTAAAGGAATGTGTTTTTATTTCATTATTTTAACAGATATTCGATGTCAGCCAACCTTGTGCTGTTAAGGCAATACCTTTCGGAGCTTTTCTGTTGAATAGACCAACAGGCAAGGGAAATAAAAGCGAAAATGACAGCAAAAGGATCGATTTGTTTGAAGAAAACAGCAATTCGTTTCAATCACGTGATGGACAATCTGCGTATGGAAATTTTTTGGAAGAATTTCCGTCTGATGAACGTGGCTACCTATGCCCGAAGGATGTCCTTGAAAAGTTAGAAAATTATCGACAGGGCTCCGATAGTTCCTCGAGGCCTCACGAGGCTATGTGGACCACTCAGGATAGGGACAATCGATGTACCGATGCTTTAACCACGAAGGAAAAATCACCTGACATCAAACAACATCATACCTGTCAAAGTATGAAAGACTTCTCAATTCAGGACGTCTGTTCACTGCTCAGGGAGATAAACCTCGAGCAATACGAAGATATGTTTGAGCAAAAGCAAATCGATGGTGGATTGTTGGAAGATTTGAACGAGGACGTGTTGATAAATGATTTTAAAATGCCATCGTTTCATGCTATGAAGTCAAAAAAAGCTGTCATGAACAATTGGAGACCTTTGATAATTCCATCACCTGACATCAAACGACATGATACCTGTCAAAGTATAAATGCCTTCCCTAATTATAAAACAATCCTTACTGCTTAACAATTATTCAACATTTCTTTATAGAATTTAATTTGAAAAGCCAATTTCTTGATGAACATTACAACATTAAAAAAGACGTACATAAAAAATTTAAAAGGTATGTTAGGAATAGGCAAAACAAAATTCTTTTTTTCATCGTATTTGTTAGCTGTAAGATAGGAAAAATGGGTATATGAATGGATAATAAAGCTGTATAGATAGTTATAGGCACATTGTTTTTAATTTAGATTCGTTATCCTATTTCTGATTCTATTATTAAGCATATCGTGGATATGTGGCAACTATGGAACAGTTAAAAAAACAAAGTTATACCATATCCTCATTTGTATATCACAGTTGATGGTGATGAAGGAAGGTCCGATGAAGATTTAAAGAAAGAAATTGACAAGATATTTGATTGGGAAGCATCAAAATTCATTGAAATCAGGCGTAAACCTTACAAAAACCCACAGATTCGATATTTATCAAACTTTCGCGCTGTTCGAAAGAATGATACACCAAATCCAATGCAAAGACTGAATGGTGTTGTTATGGCAAACCAATCAACCAGTGGCTCTCATGGTACAATTACAATGTTCTGTAGCAAAAACAATAGGTATTACGCCTTGACATGCGCACATGTTGCTTGTGGCGCAAGTGACATGGTGGACAGTGCATTGGCTTTTAACCAGAAAAAAGACTTTTTGGCAATTCGCGATGCCGTCAAACATCTTAATGAAGGTACAGCTTATTTTTATAAACTACCAAAAACTAAGAAAGAAGTTGAACTTCCCTCTTTTCCTAATGGCGTGTTTGGTCATTTTGACGGAGAAGTTGATATTGTGAGAATTTTCATCGGTGATAAACCATGTTTTCAGTATCTTGGAGGAGATGACTTGGAATGTTTTGCCCTGAATTTAGATCTAGCAAATGAAGAACTTTACGAAAGAATTGAAAATGTGGATGAATCTGTGAAAGTTCGAACAGATTATCATAACATTGGATTTATTAGTGAAAGATGTTGTTCTCACTTGACAAAGTCTTCATATGAAATCGAGAGAGAAATCATTTTTCAAAATGCGGTGAAGGTCAAAAGTAATTTCCAATTTCTAGAAAATGGTTACTCTGGTGCACTTGTTTATTTTTTGGATGAACAAGAAAATTGGCAGCCATTTGCATATGGTGTATGTGAAATAGATGATGATGATGATGTCAATGATGGTGAGGGTGGTTGTAGTGGTGGTGGTAATATTGATGACAATGATGGTGGAGTTGGTGGTGATGGTGGTAATGTGGACGATGATGGTTATGGTGATGATGATGGTGGTGATGATGATGGTGGTGGTAATGATGATGTGATATTCAAAGGTCCACTTATGAAGACCTTCATATGTTTGAAATTAGATAAAGCTTTAACTGCTGTTGAATTGGATGATTGTGAATACTTCAGATCAGAGGTCTAAACAGCAATCCAATGTCATCGGAACAAACCAACCGATAGCACACGTTTTTATTAACATTGACAAGAAATAATGATATTTATAATTGTATTGTTTTTAGTTGCTTTATATTATTTCATATTGTATTTTAGAGTTTATCGCGGATATTTTGCAACTAGTTATAACTTGGAACAGTTATAAAAAACAAAGTTATATCATATCCTCATTTATATTTGCGTTTGACAAAATACACGAATGTAGACAAAGAAGAAACGGAGAGAGAGGTCATCTTTCAAAATGCAGTCAAAAACAAGCTTTTCAATTCATCCAAAGACCAAACTCTTTTTCCTTGACGTTAATGGACTTCTCAAAGTAAACACCTAAAAAATGTAACAATAGAAAACCCAAAATGTGTCGAAACGCGTTTACTTGAACCATTTATTAGAGAAAAATATGAGAAAAATAGCAAATAATAACTCTTCATATGCATTTATTGAGCTAAACGAAAATTGTTCACAATTTTTCATGTTTAGTTAAAATACATACAGTTAGCACATAAAATAATCGAAAGTTTCTACCTGTGAATGAAAGTGAACTAATCCTTTTACAATCTCGCGGAGAAGTCGCCACATTTTCTCTGTTGGTCGTTATAATAATATCTTCGTCAATAAAATCCCTTCGACTACTCTTTTCACAATACTCCATCTGTATATACAAACTTTGCAGAGTACACTTTGATACTTCTTGCAAATCATCTCTTGAGGTGATTGCTTCCTCTTCACTTTCAAAATCAGATGCCTCGTTCTAAACGAAAAAACGCTGGTAGCTATTTTTACATATCTTCATCAACATCATGAAGAGTTCCCACTACTATATATCGCATGAGCCAACTAGCTTCCAAACTGTATATGTGATTCATCGATATTTCTTTTGAACACATCTTTAGAACTTTCGGTGTTATTAATGGATTGTACCTGTATTGGAACCTCATCCCCGGTAGAGCTTTTATCGTTGCCAACACACTTGGAATCATTCGCATTTTCATTGGTCCACGAGTCCTCATCCAAAATTCTCGAGCGTAGGCTAGGTGCTTCTACGACGTTCAGTTTCATTAAGCTATCTTCAACCTGGCGTCTCTGTTTCTCCTCCGTCAGGCTTCATTTTGTTTCATTGCTGGAAGTTTCATTTTCAAGTATTTGCTCTACCTTAATCGACGAATTATAATCCATAAAAAAAAAACATATCTAACATTGTCACGAATATTACGAGTGGCGTAACAAAGAGTTGATGAATTTAATAGGCATTTGTCAAAACAAGCTTAAGAGGACAAAGAGCATGTCAAAATTATATTATTAAAAATTTGCTAAGAGCATATACAAGCACTAATTTCAGAGCTTGCTCAGTCACAAACTAATTGAGAACGACCAACTGTATGATCTAGTATCCAATATGGAATAATTAGCTGGCTCAATCACAAATTTTGAGATAAATCATCTGCGCATGTGTCGAATTGATTAGCTGCCCAAGTTCATGGTCATGGCAACGACCAATTAAATGTACTAGCACCTATTTTGAAGTAAATAGCATGTTTAGTAACAATTTAATGGAGAAATCATCTGCGCATGCGCTCGAGCACGCATAGTCCACTCGACCAATTGTTCAAAGTCATGGCAACAACTAACTATACGTGCTTGCATTATATTTATGGCAATTAGCTTAATTTTGTATATATATATATATAAATCTAAAACTTCATATAGTAGATGTCAATTAGCAGTGGAAGCTGGGTGCGATATAGTATGTAGTGGCTTAGGGGCCCACACTTCGGTGGCGACCGCACTCTCCCTGCGTACCCGAGCAAAGCCTATCGCAGGTGATCTCAGGGTCTGATGGACGGAAGCTTGCTATTGGCATCTCCCAAGTAGGATAGCGTGGAGGGGCCGAAATCTCCTACCGAAACGTTAACATGCGGCGTTATAGTGCCTTACGCTTAACAAGGTGTCGGGAAGCATGGACCGAAAACGGGGGTTTTTGCTTTTGAATTTCATCTTTTTGTTGAAGAAAAATGAACTAGAACAGCCAAGGATACTGCAAAGGTTCAAAAAACTTCTGCATTTTTGACTTATAATTTTAACCAACTCTAAATATGTTTATACGTTTTCTAAATGCTACCTTTTAAAATGTAACTTTTTCATAACTCTTTCGTGATGAACGAGAGCCTCCTTATACATTATAACATCCTCATTATGAGCAAAAACATTCATGGGCTTCATTGAAAAAGGGATTATCTAATTTTTATAATACTTTTTACAAATATAACCTTTAATAAGCCAAGCAATTTGTATCGTGTAAATTGAACCAAGCTTTCAACCCTTATGGTATAAAATTTTGACTTATTTTGGACAGCAAATTTCTTTTTACCTTGAAATATTTTCATGATTTAATCTAGAAAGGAACTTCTCTTCTCGAGTAATTTAGTGATTTAACAGAACACTTTTCGGATTCAAAGGAATTCTTTTGATGACATAGAGACAGCCGTACAATTTATTACGTATCTAAGCGTAAATAAGCATTTCTAAATCACGTCCAAAATTTCCTTCACATGACCAAATTACCGTCTATTTAAACGATGTATGTAATGAAAAGTTACCTTGACAAATAAAGCAAACCTACATTTTTACAGGCATTTGCTACACCTCAAATTCATTCTGAACTCTTCAATTTCTTGCAGCGTAGTCGAAAGGAAGAGGCATCAAATCATTATATTCATCTCCATCATCACAACTCTTTTTATTTCTGTCTTGATATTTTTCAGCGTCAAGCTTGTCTGAATGGACTTTGTTGCTTAACATATGAAATATATTGTTACTTTGATCATAAATTATGAATAAATCTATCGTTACTAATTCAGGAATAAGTTCTATCGAAAAAGATAGAGATATAACCAGTATGTCTGTACTAGTCGATCGTATGCAGCACGTTTCAATAAAGACGTCTTTCATCGTCCATTGACAATATTAGTCAATTTAATCCATTGGTACTTTTAATTGATAAATATCAAAAAATAAGTTTAAGGGCTTGACGTCAGAGATGATTATTTGAAAGGCTTCAAGAACGGGCAAGAAAGAGTTTGAGGTCATTCATCTAAAAGAAGATGCATTATGTGTTCATTCAGTCTTCTGGGGTGTCTTTAGTAGTTTAGTGCAGATTTCACGAGTCATATGACGGCGCAGGCGCAAACATCTATAAACACTGTGTTGAGGACGTAGCTAATATGCGATATTATTGTTTTTTTCGGCGTGATGGCGTGTTATAATATTTGATCTTTTGCGTTGTGCTAGCACTCGATGTGAAAGCTTCAATAAAAACTGCAATCGTATGAAATGTTTAGATATGGTGCGGTATATCCACTGACGTATGGTCTTTATGGTGGACATTGTTGTAACTCTAATTTATTGGTTCATGATTGTTGTTTTTGGAATCTTTTCCAGTCACCAACTTTTTCTTCATCATTGTCGACGTTGACATGATTTCGCCCTGAACGTTGTCTTTCTGTTGACCTGTTTGTATCCGTTGTTCCTCTAGTCGAATTTTATTTCTTCGTTGCTCTGCCAGCGAATTTGCTTTGTTTATTTTATTCACATTTAATCTCGGTTTTCAACAGTACTTTAATGGTGCTTTCATACTTTATTATGTACACGTAAAACGAACAAAGATGAATCCCACAGGACCATATTTTCAGTCTTTATAAGAATAATGATTTCTAACAAATGAATGTACATTTTATTCATTGCTAGTTTTGTTGATGTACGATGTACGAAACATCAGAAAACAAAGAGCCTGAAGGAGCTTGTTTTTTAAAGATGACTTGGCGATTATAGCTAAAAGCAATGGCAATAAGAACTGACATCACATGAAATCCTGGAAAGGTACGAGTTAAAGATGGACGCTAAGAACAGGGAGACCATAGTATGCAATAAAATCGAGAGCAACTAATAAATGCCAGAAAGACAAATGGACAAGATTTGAGAAAAGAAAGATTGTCATTTGATTGATTGACGTAAACAAAATGTTGCAGATTTCATAAATAGCAAAAAATAACAACATATCAACAAATCGTACTTTCTTTGTCGAAAAGTGGAATCCAAGACCGGATTTTCGCAAAGACGAGCATAAAGAATGATTAAACTTCCACTTTAATTTCGATCATCTTCACAGAAAGCGGGCCATAACATCATAAGAAAGTGTACATCAAAATGGAGGAAAACACAAATCTCAAAATTAAACTTTATCTGTTTCTCTCTTATGGTAGTAAAATCTACAACGAATTAAAGAATTCCACAGTTTCGCGTGTACAAATATTTCTAGCAAAATAATCAAAACACATTTCTCCGATAAAATCAAAATCAATATATTGGCGGTTGTAAGTGAATGAAAAACCTCTTGATAATAATTCACGTAGTTTTGTATACAAATGCCACACGAATTTCAAAAAGCATTTGCATTAAACACGACTGAATACTGACACGCATGTTTCGCGTAGAAATATTTGTCAAATACTCCAAAATCGTTTTATGAAATAATGAAGCAGATTATATGATCCATGATTTGTCAGAGTTGAGGAAAATTGTTAATCTCGGCTTGATCGGAGACTGGCGAGCCGTTGATGACGTAATTCACTTTGATTCGCATACGTAACGGCGCCTAAGTGTTGAAAAATACAAAATAAATTCTTTCGGCCGAATTCTTGGATTGCAAAGCTAAATCTTGAAGTGAAAAGTGTATCGAGTTAAATAGTTCTGGGAGTATGGGAGTATGTATGTTACCTTCTGTACATGTGGGGATAGTGCAGGATAGCGAAGTCCTGAGAAGGATTGTTGGCGTTGACTGACGTTTACTCCTCATTTGACTCTGAAGATGACTACCGCTAAGGTTGTCGAAACGTCAGTCAACAACAACAAAAACAGTCCTTCTCAGGACTTTATTAACCTGGACGATCTACATCCACAAACAAGCAACGATACTCTCGGGTTCAAACAATTTACTTCATTACCTTCTGTGGATTGGCAACTTTAACCAGTTGCGTTATTTGTCCAGAATTATTTGGTGGAATTGTATTCCCAGATGGACTCTGAAGTTGAAGCTGTAGGGTCTAAAAAACAATCAAAGGTCGTATTATTTGTAACTTGAAACGAAATATTGAAATGAAACATACACAAACAGGCGTAAGGGCTCTAGGAGCAACGAGACGATTTCTAAGGGGTAGATTTTATTCTTTTGTCGGAGGTGGAATGCCCTTCAGATCCATAAAGGAACCTATACATACTTGTATCATACCTTAGGTACTGCTGCTTGAAATACAAAATCAGTGACAGGAACGGCCATAGCGTTGGTTACGTTTAATGAAATATCCACAATATTGGCAGGATTATTTTCAACTTTTTGAAAGCTGAAGTCGATTTTGATTCCATTTTTATCGTACGCTATTAACGACGGAATACCTGTACAATTTAAAAGGCAAATTGAATAAGAGAGAATGATAGTCGTTGACTACATGAGCCCGCGTACTCTGTGGTTCCGGGGAAGCGTTAAGTCATTTTTGTAAGTTAAAACAATCAATAAAAAAGCTCAATATAACGGCAAAACAAAGTCGGTTTTTGACCTGTCACTACTAAACATAAATACCATGTTTGTGGATGTAAATCATCCAGGTTAGTGGAGTACTGAGAAGGACTGTTGGTGTTGATGTTGAATGACGTTTCGACAACATTTGCGGTGCTCGTCTACACAGGCAAGTGAAAAATAATTTGTACTGATAGTCCTCGCTTGACTCTGAAGATTAATATTGCAAATGTAGTCGTAACGTTTGTCGACACCAACATCAACAGTCATTCTCAAGACTGTACCAACTAGGACCATCCACATCTACAAACATGAATGTAACGATACTCTGGTGTTCAAACCGTTCAATTCCTACATAAATTGCATCAAATAACGTGAAAAGATAATTGTTTGAGACAACAAATTCTCGCATTTGACATTTTATAAGCTCACAAGATGATACTATAAATCGCAAGATTATAATTTTGGGAAAGACTTAAAAATGTAGTCGGTGACAAGCTTTATGGCGGGCCGTTATTTTGAGCTGTGTATTTATCATTTAAAGAATTTACTCGAATATTATCGATATCACAACAATTGGAGTTTATCAATTTTCTAAACATAGAAAAAGAAAACCACTTAACGTCAATTTAAAAATTACAACAGAAACTATTTATACCGCTTTGAAAGATAGTAACTTTCACGCTTAAAACTACTTACAATGACTTAAAGTAATATCACGACAAATTGCATACATGGACAGAATTTCTAGGGGGGCGGTTGTAGTTTCAGTTGGGCTGCTCCCAAATATCTGGTTTCGCTTCCTTACAAGACGTTCACCCCTCTAAGAACCCTTCTAACAAATCAATACAGTTGAAGTTACATTTTCAGGGCAATGTTAAAACTCTCTACAATACATTTGGTGGCTGCACTACCCGATCGGCCCTAAAATCGTTACACTTTATCTTACGTCACTTTCTTACCAGGCAACCTTCCTAAAATTTTTAGAACCACCCCTCTGAAACTTTGAAAATCTGCCTATGATTGCATCTCAGTTAACCGTGTCATATTAAAGTGATCATGGACAGTTTTCGAAGACAAACAATCACATCACTCGACAGCAGGTAACGAACTCAAGACCATTCTCCTACCTTGCTGCGCGGCCAACGGTTGGTTGAACGAAGGTATGAGATTATTTGTGTAATCTTGCTGTACCACGGGGGGTGGATTTGAGGAAAGACCATCCAACAAATTAACCATGGTATTAGGTGCAGCTGGAGGGACTGAGTTCATCGAAGGTGGTGGTGCTAAAGGATAAGAGAGGACAATAAATAATGACATTGGCAAAAGAGACTTTGCCAGTGAAATCTCATATTAACTAGAACGTTAAACACACAACTACGTATCTTTGAAGCGGTAATTGAAGTTAGTGTTTCTCAATGACCTAGAACCCAGTCTACTAGATACCTGACTCCGTCAAGATTTTATAGTAACAAGTGAGGCAAATCACAATCTTGAAAGATGGCAAAACTGATGATATTTACGACTAACATCTGCTTTCTCGGAGTTCATATACAATTGCAAAGTAAATAGTGAAAATAGCTCTAAAGATAGCAAACACCATAATCGCCACGACAAAGTCTATATTTTAATATTAAAGTAAATAGTCTATTTTTTATTTTTAAAATGGTGGAAAGAATTGGTTTTTAAACATTCTTTGAACTTTTTTTTTCATTTTGAGTTTTACGTTTTGCCACCTTTCAAGATGGCGCCCTTGCCTCACCTTGACACGGTTGTTAGACATCTAGAGGACTGGGTTCTAAATCATTGGTTTCCCTGAGTTTTTAGAAGTTCCATAATCTTATTTTACAAAATCAACAACGATTTACATAATTGAAATGACATGTTTTAGTCCAGGAATTCTGGTAATAAAACGAAAAACTCGGGTATAAAGGACTTCGAAACGACCTTTTGCACTTCTATTTAAGTTAGCGTTCCAGTTTATACAGAGTTCAGTAAACAGCGCTATCATTGAAGCAAATAATTGGTTCTTGGACTTGTTACTAACCTGAATTTGTGACATTCATGTCAAGATCACCTAGCAGGTCTAGAAGATTGCTACCATTGGTGGAGGGGGGAGTGGGTTGAGGTAGGGATGCTGGCGGTTGGGATGCCTGCGGTTGGGTTGATGGGGCAGGCGCAGATGACGTGTCGCCAAGAAGATCGAGAAGCGTGGTGGACTGAACACAAGAAAAAGATAAAAATGAGTCATGTTTAAAAGTGATACAAGCATGGAGTTTGAGACAACATACGGGGTTTTTAACGTTAGTTTCAATATCACAGTGCTATGAGCAGCATATTTTACATGGCGAACGACAGTAAAATGGTTACCATTTTACAATTGATAGCCAATTTTAGAACTGTGAACTAATGTCCCTCATTATTTCAGTTACGTGTCGTGGTATATCTACATTAAGTTAACTAATCCCTAGTTCAACTGTCAGAGGTATTGCGTCGTTAACTTATCGCTGTTAACTTAACTCAGGATGAGATGACTCCTTGTCTTCATTATAAATATAAGTAAATTTGCTATTAACAAAAGCAGACGCGTCTGACAGCATTTGATGAAAAGTCTTCAGAAACGCATCGTGTCATTTCATTTTTAGTTTTTAAAAGTTCTTTTTAGAATAACTCGATTGTCATTCACCATGAAAAATACGCTATTCGCAGCAATATTTGTGTTTGCAATTTTATCTTAGTTTTGAAATTTAATAGTAAATTAAAGGAAATTAAATTTTCGATAGTACAAACTTCAAAAAATATTCAAAACATAATGAGCACCATTGTATTTAAAACCTGACCCTCACCTCTGTTGGTTTATTTTGCTTCTGTTCAGGAACAGCTACATCACAAAATTACAAAATATCGTCAGACAAAACATCAACGAAACGCGCAGCCACAGTATAGAAACAAACAGTAGTCCCACTCTACAGAAATTTTTTGTGTAGCGTATTCTTATTACGCATGTGATTAGCATAGTGGCAGCCAGTAAATTGCATTTTTTGACAAATAGGAGCACTGAAATTGCTATCCGTGGCCAGTCATCTAATTAAACATACAACACCCAAGTTGCACAGTGGAGTGAGAGAACTGTTTGTTTCTATACTGTGGCGCAACGCTGGTGGACCCCGAATGACATGGCAGGATTCAATAAGGCTCTTGATAACCATGGCTCAAAATAACATCCTAAATGCACCCGGCGAATAGGATCGCTCAACTTTATTATCACTAGGTCGAAGTCATTGGTGCAAATATATACATATATTTGCACCAATGACGTGAAAAATACATTTATTGAGATTACTGATTCTCGTGTTTCAGATTCTAAGCGTTTATGACATCACACATTGTCTCACTATAGCGCTTATGGAGAAATCTTCATAAGCCAAGATTGGCGACCGCACAAAGAACGATCAATGGATGAACACAACGACGTAACGTGAATAGTATGTAAATCAGCACTTACTGTAATTACATACAAAAGCAAATACGGTTTTTCTGAGCAAAAATTGACGTTTAACTTTTCAATGAGAACATTGAAAGGAAAACTGATTAATAGTTGTAATTAATTATCACGAAATGTGACAGGCAATGTACAAAAAATTGGCAGGACAAAAGTAATTTATGGCCGGTCGTTGTGCGCTGACCGGCAGTTATTTTGAGCTCTGTCGGATACCGTCAGTGCCCCAGATATCACATCCCGCAGAAGATAACATAAAGAACAAAAAACAAGACAACGAGATCTTTAAAAAGGAGAGATACAAATTCTTCACACGGCGAGAGTCATGATTTTCTAACTTACGTTGTTCCTCGTGGACACTTTCTTTAACTTCGCCATTCTCGACGGTTCCATTCTTCGTATCCAATACGGGTATTCTCTAACAGACCGATCCTGAAGAAAATACAAACTTAGAACACAAATATTCGACAATGCGAAGTATACAGTCATCAAAAATTGACATCAAAAATTCTTCAATAATCATTGAAAAATTTCAACCTCATTTAATCCTGGCCTTAACACAGTTTGACGTACGTACCGTCATCAAACATTACTAAATATTTGAAAAAATTGGTCACTAGCAGTGTTTGCACTAGCTTGCGTTTTCCGATCTGAGATGAACCATTAAATAAATTAAAGAGAATTGGCAAATCAATCACGACAACATGTGAGAGAGAAAATTAAAACATTTGTTATAAATTTGTCTGTTTGGCGTTATTGTTCTTTAATAAATAAAAAAAAGATGTTTTTTTTGTGTTTCCAAAGAATTTCCAAAGAACTTCGGTCTCAGGCTTGCACTGATCATTTCTCAAGTTCTCCCAAACGTTTCCTCGGTGTGCATAAGCCTGTGCAAACACAGTAAACATCTTTTACTTCTTAAATATTTCAAGTGAAATCTAACCTCATTTCATCGTAGTTTTTAAACAGTTTCACATATTCAACAGATCTTTGTTGAAGCTCGACGTCCATGTTATCAGAGAAACGGTGAATCAATTTTTTTATCGCACTACATGAAGTATAAATAAAATGTCAATGGCAACAACAGCATTTTGATAAAAGGGAAAAAGAGAATAACATTTTCTTACTCAAGATTTGATGTAAATCTTGTACTCAGTTTCATTAGCGCATTCAAGGAATATTCTTTTGAGACTTGATTCAATTGATTGCTCGCCAACATTCCTTCAAGAATATCCACGACATCGTTCTCGGTCACCTAGCAACAACAGAAGCTTTTCGCATCGGTGTTCGATAACATTGTTGATGAATATAAAGCTCTCGTGAGTGTATGTGTGGATGTATTTATGATCTCCAGGGATATGTATGGTTGAATATTGATTCATCGGGGCATGCACGGATGTACAGTGTGTATCGAAAATCCGAAATCAGATTAAACTTTTTTAGGCAATCGCGCCATTGACATTGTGTTCGAGGCTTGTATTTTTAAATAGCAAGAAAAAGAGGAGCTTTTAACTTGCCAATGATGTTTTTATTAGTTCGTAACGATCAGAAATGATCGAGTGTTCTCCTTATAAAAATTGCAAATCGAAATTACATGTTCCCTTGGGTGTAGTTAAGGCGGTTTCACTGGCATTTCAAACAAAACCAATGAAACAGCGGATTTCTCACTGTGCTGTATCCATTGAACTAGATATATATCTTGAAGGCTACGTATCTTAAAATAAACATGCATGGACTTGCATGAAAGACGCGTGTCCGCGGGTCAAATCTCGCATTGGCGAGATACGCCTATCGTCGTAATAGAACTTTCTTTGAGCCGTGCGTGGAAGGATTGAGACTAGTTAAATTGCAGGAAAAATGCGATTTCGACTTGCAATTATACTTTAAGAGTGGTCAATGACTTCTGATTGTTACGAAATAACATATCACTGAAAATGTAAAAAGTTCCTCTTTTTTTCCATATTCAATTATAACCGCATAACAAATCTGATTTTTTTAATGCTCATTGTATATTCTTTTTTTAATAAAATATCGATATTTTTTTTTCATCTTCAGGGACCAGTTTCCCGTAGGCCGAATACAGCACTATTCACAGGATAGCAATACATTTGAAACGCAACAAAAATCTCTTTAACTGGAAAAATCTACGACAATCTATGAAATCTACAATAATGGTTCTAGTATTACAAAGTTTCATTGTCGTGAAGAAAATAAAAGCACTTTTTTCACAAGTTTTAAAAATTACTATCAAAAGGATAACGCTATACGAGCTTCGTGCAAGCTGCCTCAGATAAAATAAAGCATCTGTTCACTTACATTCAGGGATTCATCTTCGTCAATATCTTTAAACAAAAGTTCACCAAACTCTCCGGTACACCATGCAGCAACTTGTACTAATGATTGCTGAAGATGGAAATAAAGAAAATTGTTATATACCAATGGTCAAAGTATATTTTTTCTGCAGTTTCATTGGCCGAGAGAAAGTCGTGTGACAAATTAAACTGATTCCTCGCAAGTAGCTTGAGAGTAAGGCTAATATCAAGTTCAATGTCAGGGGGGATCAGGGAAGCACACATGATTGATATCATGTAGAATGGCAGGGGGGATCGGGGCAGCATATCTGGCTAATATCAGGTTGAATGGCAGGGGGGGTCAGGGCAGCATACTTGACTAGTATCTTGTTGAATGGCAAGGGATGAGGGCATCATACCTGACTAATATCATCTTGAATGGCAGTGAATAGTTGCTGAACAGCATAAGCTTGTAAAGTATCACTTGACGCAACCATATGAATAAGACTTGGAACTGTATCATCACGAACATAGTTTCCAGCCTGTGAATAACATTATGCACGTAGTTATATAACTTTATCTACCGAAGCATTTGATTGGCTTATAAACAAGCATGAAGGTATGCGATTGGCTAATGCCTCCTCCATCTCATTATCACAAATTTCAACTAAATACAGAACTGACGAGATTGCTTAATTCCTTTTTTAATGTCTCCACCACTAAGCTTCACAAACTACAGATGCATCTGATTGGCTTATAAGCAAGCCATGACTAAAGTGATTAGTTAATTCCAATTTAACATCTCTATAGCTTAATTTCACTATCTACCTAAGCAACGGATTGGTTTATCAATGTGCTTCATAACACCGTCCAATGACTGGAATAAAATGTTCTAAATATACTCACTGTAGTTAAAAACTTTCATCATTATATCAATGTGCCACCTTTTATTGGGAGCATGTCTACAAATGATCAAAAATGGAAAATTTATCTTTCTTCGCGATAAGCACAAAGATGGATTCTAGAAATCCTAATCAGCGATAAACACTAAGATGGATTCTATGAATCTTAATCAGCGATAAGCACAAAGATGGATTCTCGAAATCCTAATCAGCGATAAGCACAAAGATGGATCCTCGAAATCCTAATCAGCGATAATTATAAAGATGAATTCTAAAATCACAATCGGCGATAAGCACGAAGATAGTTTGAAGAAATCGTAATGTAATTCAACATACTTCTCAGCAACTTGGAAGATATTCGATGTTATGTATGATTTCAAATCAGGATCAACGTTATTGAGAAAAGCCAAAAGTTCCTTCACCATGCCACGTATATTATTGGAGTTTATCAAAGCAAACGAAAGTTCCACTGCGCGCCTAAAGAGAGACAAAAATATTTCGACTGTAATCACAGTTTGAATTCACTACGTATGTAACTAAAATTCTTGACTTCTTCAGGTAATTGAAGTTCAACTTTGATTTCAAATACTGCAGTTGCAGCGCCAAGTTTTAATACCGAAGTAGAACAGCGGAGTTTTATATCCAATTATTTTTACCGGAGTTTCAACACCGGACTTCTACTATCGTCGTTTTATTACGGGAGTTTAAACACAACAGTTTTATTACCTGAGTTGTTATTCTAATTCAAACTATAATAAAATTAAAATAATCTTGCACTAAATTACATCAAAACTAAAGATTCTACCTTTGTATAGAAATATCAGGATCCTTTAGACAGTCCAAAATGGTACTGCGATGACGCTGGACAGCTTGATAGTCGGCGCTGACAGTTTTTAACAAAGTATTGAGGGCGACATAGCGAATGTTCTTGTCATTATTCAACAAAAATCTTCCTAAGATATTAACAGCCAAGACCTGTACAAAATAAGACGCACTGACTGCTGTTCTACTGGAATACTATTAATAAATATCGCTCAATCTTCTCTTACTCGTAAACCGCTTTCTGATTTGATATCCATAATGGCCAAAACAGTTTCATATAAAATAGCATTGCCGACGTTTTTACTTGTCTCCGTATTCGTTGCCACCTGAAGAAATTTATAGGATTCAAAATGACGGAAAACAACACGAAATTCACGTTCAAATATCATTTTAACTTTAGCACGAAGAAGGTAAACATCTCTAATTGACCAAACTATCGTAAATGCTCGTTTTAACGCCGCGGCGCTTTTTAAATTCCCCCGGTTTGAACGCCGCATTTATGCGGGAGCAGCGCTAATTAAATATTTTATTGCCTCAAGAAAATAACGAGTAGAAAAAATATATTATCATTATGTAATATAAAACTTGATGAAAATATTGTCAAATAGGCGCAGAACAAGATAGTCGCAAACGTTAGAGTTCAATGATTCCATTTTTACGAGCGCCGCGCTAAAGTTACTCAGAGGCGGCGCTAAAGTGGAGCGGCGCTAAAGCGAGCATTCACGGTAGGCGAGGCAGACGTTAAAGTCAATTAGAGAAAAATTTTCCTAGAAATTGGTGAATTGAAATGAAATCATCAGCAAGTCAATGCAAGCAAAGCCAAACTTATATAAAACACCATTATTGCAAAATATAGTGCAGTTTCGTATAAAATTAAACCGAAATGTAAATAATATGTGCTATACAAAAGTTGTTTTTCGTTGTGTCAACTAGCGCTTATAAACTCACCTGTGCAAGTACATCATTCATCGTATCGCTTGCTTCTTCGTCGTTCCTCCCAAGAATACGCAACAAACGGATGACGTGAATCTAAAATAACAAGATTTTGATATTTTTATTTACGCATGCCCAGTGAAATGTGTTGATTTACCGCAATCTGATTGGCTGCAGTAGCGGGCGGCTTTTTACAATATCCTGACAGTGGTGGAGATATTTATAATAGCAAGAGTGAATTTTACTATCTCAGACGAAGTGAATTTTGTAGAAAACAATTCAATCTCAACCATTGAACTACAATACATTGAACGCAACCATAAATAGAAAAGCCTGATAATTCTTTGAAGCTAAATTTTACACTTAGACACGCGAGATTACACATAGACACGCGTGTAAGTCAATCAATTATTACTCCGCAAGAGAGTCTCGAAACACTACAGACGCGTGTCTGGGTAAAATCTCTCGTGTCTGGGTGTAAGATTTGGCTTCAATTATTTGCTTCAGATAGTGTTTCATGTATTTTAGGTCAATGGTCTCAACAAACCACATTGACCATTTGACAACGAAAATGTCGTTATTATGAAAATAAAAAATAAAAACTTTATGTACCGTTTAGGTCGCTTTCACATAAAAAATATTTCCCTCCGCCTCAGTGAAAATATTTTTTCAGTACAGACCTCCCAGACGGTAAATTACGTTATCGATAATTTAGTTAACACATAAAGTTATCTACAAAACTGAAATCTGTAAAAATATCTCCCATCAATGATCAACGGACAACGATGTTTCCAATAGTTTTGGAGTTTTCCAACGAAAAATGAAATGAAAATGCAGTTTGAACTGGAAACACAATCTATGTCATAGGTATATTTTACCATTGAACTAAAAATAAATGGCAACGCTATTGTGAAGTCAACAAAACCAAGGACTAGGACAATCTACATTTACAAACATACGCCACGCAGCAAATCTTACACCCAGACACGCGTGTGTAGTGCTTCGAGATTCTGAAAATTGATTGACTACACAGGCGTGTCTGAGTGTAATCTAGCGTGTCTGGGTGAAAAATTTGGCTTCAGGAATTTATTAGACTTTTCTATTACAAGTAGCGTTCCATGTATTTTAGTTCGATAATTTTTACCTGAAGAAAGGGATCGCTGATGCCTGAGACATCGTGCTCAGGTGAATAACCAGACATGATTAGGTTCTTGAGAATCTTCACCAAAGTCGACACGTGCTGGATAAATGGACGCGAACAAAAATGATCGGATGAAAACTATCTTCAAAAATTAGTGAAGAGATCATTCATACGGCGTGACTTACTTTTCTAAAATGCGCCACGATCTCTGGATTAAGTTCGCACATCTCGGTAATGAGACAAGTGGCAGTCAGGAGAATGCCTAAAACATCAAATCGTACTCTATTAAACTTATATTCTGATTGTAAGATACTTATGGGAAGTGTGCTCCCCTTAATACAATTCACAACTGCTTTGGATAACTTTCTCCAAAATTAATAAGCCATATGCCCCCCCTGCAACCCAAGGCTAGGAGTGGTACACTCCAAACGCTCATTCTCTAGTCAAATCATTCCTAAAAGTGACCCAGCTAGTTTTACATATCATTAAAAAGTGACCTTTCCATATAGAAATTGCCACCTGCAGCCATTCACCCAAATCATTCTATACTTGCAGAAACTAACCATAAGTTTTCTCATTCAAAAGTGACCTTATCATATGGAAATTGGCACAGCACCTGCAGCCCTTACAACCAAGGCTATGAGGAATGCACCCAATCCCCTAGTAAATCTATCCCTGCAGTTACTTACCGTGGTTTTTCTCATTCAAAAGTGACCTCGTTATTGGGACAAAAATTTCCATCAAGTCTGGTACCTTACGAATAATTCGAACAGCACATAAAGCAGCCTGGAGAGAAATGAAATATGAACTTGGCATAACACATACATACACACAATTTTTAATCAAGGATTTGGGAAAACTACATCAAAAAAAAATTCTCACACCGATACCTTTTAAAGTGAAACTGTTGGATGTTTTAATAATCGCCGATTTCACCTGCCAAATCGACTCATTTCTTGAGAGCAGATACTGGAAAAGAAAAAGTAATCATCTAAAATAAAGTGCTACCAGAAATACATAGTAATAAAAACGAGGCAGAAAAATTGTTTGGACAAAATATGATAAGGCTGTGGAGCCCATTTTACCAACATTTCACTTATTTCATGAACTATATATAATTAGAAGTGAAATTCTTTGTACAAAGGCAAACAACCAGCATATAGCATTAAAACTAAAAAACACAAGTAGCTGGACAATGCATAGTAGTACTGCCAATAGACCTTCATTGAAAATTACATAAAAGCCAAGCAATATATATTCAGAGCTTTATTAAGCAGCACCAGCATTATTATACATGTACAGTCTCTAATTACTAGATAAAACTTAAAAACAACTTAAAGTTTTATATCGAACAATTATTTAAGGTTTCTGCAGGAATTATGAGAGAGTTAAGAAAAGCATGCAAAACACGAGTAAAAGGTGAGTGTTTTGCACTGCTTGTCTTAACTTGAGCAAGATTCCCAAGTGTTTGGATCAGGTCATCTATATACACTTGAAAACATTTAGCAATTGTTTATAAAAAAAAACAGGAGGATAGTGTTGCATGCTTTATACATACAAATGACTGGAAATATAAATTTCGCTAAATTCTCCCAAGCAAACAAAGCTGTCAAATTTACATTGAAAACAATGCAGTCAAAAGCATTAAAACATAGATTGCAGTGAGGTTAGAAACTTTTAAAAATTTAGAAAAATCACCAATGTTAATTCGAAGTTCTTATTTACACTGTCAGAAATGCACTCGGTTAATTAGGCAAGAAAATCATATTGTTTACAAGCATGTTGAAAATTTCTTTGAAAGCAATTTCAATTTTCCTACTTGGATGGCCTGATCTAAACACAGGTATCAACCAATCAGAGCACATGTGTAGCATACTTTAGCAAAACATTATTTCATAAAGTTTTTAATGTATTGACTTGCATTAAGCGATTTCAAGAAAAATCTCAAAGGATGACCAACAGATTTACTGTATAAAACTGATTCAGTTCCTCCTACCTTCCCAGTGTGCTTAATGCCAGTCCAATGATGAATTGACTGTTGTGATTCAAATCACTAAAATAAAACAACTTGTTTAGAAAGCACACTTCAAGACAAATATAAATTTCATACATTGTGATGTTCATTCATACTTTTTTAAGGAATTCGTTATAAGTAAGTGAACATCCTGTCTTTCATCCAACAACATCATAGCACCAAGATAACCGACTCTCTTGTCCGTAAACTTTGGGGATGCGATCAGTTTCAAACATTCCAACTATGGTTCAAAAAATTTATTCTATAAAATACATTGGTCCTATACAAAGGTTTTTTCAGATTTCCCAAGGCCAGGAGTTAGGAGATCATAATTCCCAAAGTTATTTTAAACTTGTTCATAGGTAACGTTTATTTTCACTTTTACAGAGTTTGAAAATTGCAACACTTAAAAAAATCGATTGTCAAGAGAACTCCTTCAACTTTTGAACATTCCACTATTACAATTACAGGGGAAGAACCAAAAGTGTCAATCAAATGTATTCACATAATTTCTAGCCCTACCCCCTACATAACAACATTCCCCCCCCCTATCTTCATCTAAGTACAAAAATGACATTTCTCCTAAAGTAGATTGACAAATGTAATTACGTTATATTAGCACATGCTTTTATTCTTACAAGGCAAATCTGTCAGAAAATCATAATCAATTTCTTTCATTCATTTTTTTGAAGCAGTGAATGAACACAAAATATTTGCATTGTAAGAGTAAACAATTTACTGCCTTTGCTAGTAATAGGTCAGGAGAGATAGAGACCAATAGCAATATCCATAAAATCTATCCCTGTTCAAACAAGTTTTGTTCACTTGAAACAAAATTTCACTTGACATAACTTTGTTACCTGTCCAAAATGTGCCGGGTAACCGAGCATATGAATGTATAAAAGCTTGGCCACTGCTCTGGACCTAAAGTCATTGTCCTCTTCACTAAATATATCCCGTATTTGGGCACATTCTTTTGAAATAACAGCACGCTCGTCTGCTGCAGTACGAGCTGCTCTGATGGCTCGAATAAGATCTTAGCTTCAATATTGCAGGCATTTTGAGGTCATGAGTTAAAATGAAACCAAAATCTTCTAGAAACCGAGACAAATGAAAATGAAACAATTCAAAAATATCAATAATTAATAGCATTATTAATAATTTATCAAGACAATTCCAGGTTTGCACAAACGGAAACGGAACTGGCTTTACGAAAACAGCAAGAGGCAAAGAAAAATAGGCTGTTGTGTAAAAACAAAGAGTACACATGTACAAAATATACAAATTAACACATTCATTGATGAAAAACGCTTCAAGGTAAATTAAAAACACGATATTGGTAAAACAAATCGAGGGTTACAGTTTTAATGCCCAACAAAGTTAATACATTAAAAAACTTCGAAGTTTTAACACGAGAAAATTCTAACTAATCTAAAGTTTACACTCTCCACGTCAACTAAGCCACTAAGTATCAATGGAGCTAGATGCAAAAAGGTTTAAAGCACCTTGGCAGTGCATCTTTATTTGTGACACAAACATTATCCGCTCATTTATAAGACCAAATAAAATCACATCCAGTTCGACATGGTCAGAGTATGACTTGTACTCAAAATTTCACGGTTTATAACGACAAAAGTACAGCACAAAATTAAACTGTGAACACGACAACAGACCAAGTAGATGTCAATGAACGTACCTTCGAGCTCAAGACGGCTCGGGAAGAAAAATTCCTCGCGATATTTCACGTAACTTTCAATTCAACCCAAGCATTCGGATGATCTTGAGTAAGACGGAAGATTTAGAATAATTAAGGAAGCTATTGCGCATGCTCACTTGCATACATGCTTATCACGAATACATTAGCAGAAATTATTTTGAATAACTAAATTTCATGAGACCAGTGTTCAAAATGGTTCAAATAATTGAAATAAAGTCATATTGAAGCATAATCTAATACGTTGAAATATATATTATGACTTCTAGCATTATCATTTGCATTGGTCATTTGTAGTAACCATTATTTACCGTATGAACTTTATTCATGACACGTCATACTCATATCACGAGGTGCTTCCGTTTCTACTAAGTCCAATGAAGTCATGCTATTGACACTTTTGAACAAAATAGGTACAATAGAAAATTTCCGGATGTGTTTTCAAAGTATTCAGTTCAAAATTTCAAACAACAAATGGAAACATGTTTGTTTAAATACGCTGACTTGGCAAGAATAGATAGGACAGAAACAGTTAATATTGCGAAGACCTCTTGCATTCCGTACGAATTTTCCTGCAAAATATGGGTAAAAGTGGCAAGAAAGTTAATAGCTCTGCGAAGAAAGAACTTCCTCAAAGACAATTTCAAGATCTGTGGTAAAAGCCAAGGATAAAAAGAAAAAATCTGTTAAAAAATTGGTCAGTTTAGTCCCTCATTTGGTTCCACGTGTTCAGAGATTGTTCTTATTTTTACATTATTTTTGCATCCGAAATAAAAATTTGTCGTTTTTAGACCAAGGAAAAGTTGCAAGATGATATTGAAAATGCAAATATTCAGTTTACTGATCTGCAAACCAAACTGGTTTGGGAGAAAGAAGATCAGAGAGAAAATGAAAGGAAAGAAAAGTCAAAAGGGCTTGAAAAGGTGATGAATGAGTTCTTAAATGTTTAAACTGTAGTGAGCCTGGATTGAATGGTCATGGTTGTGGGTTGACCTGAAGATTTGTGGGTTGACCTGAAGATTTGTGGGTTGGCCTGAAGATTTGTGGGCTGGCTTGAAGATTTGTGGGTTGGCAGGAGAACATTTTTGATGTACTGTCTTCATTGAATTATTCATTTAGATTTCTATGAGTTTTGTATCATATGACAAGCAACTAGAACAAACAACCGAGGTGTTTGGAAACTTATGAATTCAAATGGAGATTGGGATGCCAAGAAATCTTGGGAAACATTGTACTTTCCCTATTTCGATGATAGTTTTTCGAAATGTATAAATGTACAGCAATTGTGATATATTGTATTATAAAAAGTTATTGTGATAAAGAAATAAATTTTTTGATGAGTAGAGTGGCAGAAAGTTATAAAGAAATTTGTAGTTTGTTAGTAACATGAATTGCCTTAAAAACTTTGATACGAATGATGTACATTGTAAAGCAAGTTTATTTCAAAAATGGCTTTAAAATAGGTACACCAGGCACACAATGACTCAAATAGGATATTTCCATTTTCATTTTATGATTCAGGACAGAGATATGAGACAGGAGAGCTGGGGGGCACAATAATGTAAGATTATTTATTTTTATTATCTGAAGCATTGTATGAAGTAATCTTTCCAAGGATATCTTCGAAAATCATGGATTAGAAATGATGATAATCACTGTTTTTAGTACTTTGATTGTTAGTCTGTACCTTGATAAACTGGTCATGCATAATGTGTAAATCAAAATTCAACAAATACATTTAGCCATAAGCATGTTTTAAATAAATTGTAAAATATCTAAGCTGAAACCTATTTGTTAGTATGTTTGTTTCTTTATGCCAGAAAAAATCATTGACCAAAAGTAATATCACAATTAAATTTTATTAAAACATATTTTACACACAGTTTCCTCTGAGGTTATTAATCGAGAGCTGAGCATTTAAACAAAATGATATTAAACATGAATTCTTACATTACAACTTCTACATATCAACAATAGTTACACATAAAATATATGTCATTGTTTCATTTCAGTTTAGACATAATTTTGCCCAAATGGTAAAACTTCAGCAATGGCTCCCCTTCGCGGTTTATTCATTGAAGGAAGACATGTCCATGAAGAACTACTTACCATATCGAAACACTCCACTGATTTAAGTTTTTCACCTTTATCATTCAGACCTCCCATGACACCAATTGTACCACCAGTTATAACTGCACAACAGAATCTTCTCTTTTCTAACATGGATGGTAAAACTGTAATTTTTCCTGTATTACAATCATACATGAGAACACTGTTCATTACTTTTTTTCCATCACAACCTCCAAGAAGAACAACTTGATCTCTCCATTGAACTGTTGCCATTTCAGTCAATGGATGAGGTAATGGAGGCATTTCCTTAAATGTAAGAGTCCTTGGATTAAATTCCAAAACACTGGACAAAACATTGCTATCCTTTCCCTGTCCTCCAAAAACAAGAACTTTATCATCAACAACAACAGCTCCATGGCACGAACGTGGTTCAGGCATACGACACAACTCTTTCAAAACATAAGATGTTGTACTTGTAATCTGTAATTCACTAATTTCATCCAATGTTGTATGTTTATCATAATCATATCCTCCAATGTGAAAGATTTGTTGTTTACAAACAACAGTTCGATGATGCCAACACCCATGAGGAAACTCTGTGGGAAATGTCTTCCACGTAAAAGAAAACTGTTTTATATTCAATGTCTCCATTGACTTGCAGCCAACACCTCCAACAACAAATAAAATATCATTATAAATAAATGATGACCCATAGACGTGCGCATTTTCCATTGATGCTATCTCAAACCATTTCACCTTCTTCCATGAAAATATTTCAACACTCTTTGAGGAACCAGGTGAATAACCTCCAGCAACCAAAATATCACTTTTTAATGTGTTTATAACTATTTCAATTGGTGATGTTAATGTTTGAACATGTTGTTCATTTTTATTCATCTTTTCCAAGATTTGAAACATCATTACTTTCATGTCTTTTATTTCTTTAGTCAGCAAAGAAAGATTTTGTTGAACATCTTTTATTTCTCTCTTTGATTCCATCATTTCTTTACGTATTTCCGCATATTGTCGACCTACTTCAGCATCCATTTTCACTTTTACTTTGTCAACATGATCAAAATTTCGTTGAAACATTTCTCTAATCTCTTCAAAGTCGTGAGAAGGAATCTTTCTGTATTCACATAACTTAGTTTCGTGCTTGATCTTGTCTCGTTTGTTTATCTCCTTGCCACAACGTTCATTAGAACACAACACTGGAGCAAAACCACAATTTTCAACATGTCTTTCTAAATCTTCAACTTTTATAAATTCAGGACAACCACGACTAGCGTAGTCGCAATTGATCTTAAACTTTGAAATCATATTATTAACAAACCGCGCTGGAAGAAGTGTAGGTGCAGTCAAATTATCTTGACATTGAGGACACCTTTGTGCATTAACTCGTAGATGTTCTTCAATGCAATAACGACAAAAAATGTGTTCGTTATGTCGACACATTCTTGCATCTTTAACGATGTTAAGACAAATGGAACAAAGAAAATTTTCATCAACAGCAGTCTTAAATCTCGATTCCTCATATCCACTTTTGTTATCATTAGGATGGCCAGCCATTTTAGACGCTTTCCAATGCAATTCTGTGTTTGGGACACCTTTAACGCTGACCCAAACCTAATCCAAAAGTTGGCAAAAATATTTGTTTATGGGGCGCGAAGTGTTTCTTTATTATTTACGGGATTTTTAATAAATTAATTATTAAATAACCAAACGTAATAGGTTGGTTATTTCAAATAACCAATTTTGGACTAGATAAGTTTGGTTATATCAAATAATCAATTGACAAAATTTGGTTATTTAATAAATAACCATTATTATTTCGGCGTTGATTTGGTTATATCAAATAACCAATGGTACGCTAATTGGTACCAAATCGGTACCGAATTAAAAATGGTTATTTAATAAATAACCAAGTAGCGTACAATTGGTCATTTGATATAACCAATTTGATTACCGAATTAAAAATGGTTATTAATTAAATAACCAATTAGCGTACAATTGGTTATTCGATATAACCAAATCGGCGCCGAAATAAAAATGGTTATTTATTAAATAACCAAATTTTGTCAATTGATTATTTGATATAACCAAACTTATTCTAGTCCAAAAAATGGTTATTTGAAATAACCAACCTATTACGTTTGGTTATTTAATAAATAATGAAATTAAACATTAAAAAGTCCGTAAAAAAAAAAGAAACACTTCGCGCCCCATATTTGTTTACCGCTTAAATTATTCAACACGTCATGTCACCCAAACAAAAATAGATACGCATCTCGTACATTGGGCTTTTAACCTTTGTTAGCAACTGTGTTGCCAACTTTGGATTTTATTCCGAAATCTCGGAATTTTTTAAAGTAGATGGGATTCTTTTAAGATATTTAATTTAAAATTAATTTTTGGAATTTTTTCATTTTGAGAAGTCATTCCATGAGTTAAGGCTCCAGATATAAATTTTTGGGTAAAATGGCTTGTCTGATAACTAGTTATGTTGACGACACTCGCCTCTAAAAGCAGCTAGAGCAGTAGATCAACTGGTATAGAGCGGTGTGGAAAATGGATTGCACTGAAAAACAACCTCTTTATAGAGTACAGTGACTCATTTTTCTCAAGGACTTTTGCGTGCATTTTCTTAAAACACTTGTAACTGATGTTTAGTAAACAAATACATCGTAAATGAGAAATAATTTTAATATGATAACTGACTTGATTCGACAAATGTGCAAAAATTGTTTTTATGTTTAAACGTTCATATTATACCATTATCAATTAACGCCAAAACAGTCCAAAAACAAAATTACATTGTTTTTTATTGCTTTAGTAACTCGTCTCTAAAACAGAAGAGAAGTTAATAAATAAAATGCGACAAAAATCCGGAAAAATTTAGCTAAAATGTGTTATGTTTGAAAAATGATTGAATTTTTGCTTGTTAAAGTTCCTTCATAAAAAAATCCTTTGTTTCCCTTTGCATATGATAAAATTTAACCATTACAAATTGAACGTCTTGTTTCACAGTTTTATTCTCCAAATACCTAAAACATGCATTATTTAAAACAAGAGTAGATGAATTCGTGAAAGTTATAAAGTTTCTTCTCTTTATGAAAGTTTCTTCTAAAAAGGATAGCGCTGTAATATTCTCCTGGGGAAAATTGTGATTTTTGAAAATCCCGGTTTATTTTGGGAGCTTACTAAATGCTTTTGATTGACACAACATTGCAGTTGGCAACACTGAAACTAACATGACGTTTTCATTTAAGAAACAAAAAATGTTTACTGTGTTTGCACAGGCTTATGTACAACGAGCAGACCTTTGGGAGAACACGAAATCAGATCAGGGCAAGCCCAAGACCGAAAGTCTAGTAGTAAATTGAAAGTTTAATTGAAAACCAGAGTTGATATTGTGTTCTATTGAAGATTTTTAAGAAAATTTTTTATGTTGGCAGAATTTTCGTTTTGAGAGAGCCACCCGATGCTCGAAGGACCACAAAAAGCATGGCACAAAACTTACACCTCTGTCTTGATGTAAAGCAACTTTAATTTTAACTTTTCTTTATAACTCTTCAATTGTTGTCATTGCTCTAATGATTTCTTGCTTAGAGGAACAAAGTCACACTTTGCATGTTTGATTTTTATTTCAGCTTGAAAATATTTTAATTAGAATGGTAAAACTTCAGCAATGGCTCCATATCGTGGTTTAGTCATTGACGGAAGATGTCCATGAAGAACTGCTTCCCATTTTAAAACACTGAACTGATTGAAGATAATCTTCATCTTCATCATCAATCTTTCCTCCCATGACAACAATTGTATCTTCTATTATAACTGCAGAACATCCTAGTCTCTTTTCCAACATGGATGGTAAGACTGTAATCTCACCCTTCTTATTTTCATACCTGATAAAATCGCTCAATGTTCTTTTTTCCATCAATACCTCCAAGAAAAACAGCTTGATCTCTCCATCGAACTGTTACTATTCTAATCAATGGATGAGGTAATGGAGGTATTTTCTTAAATGTAAGAGTGCTGGACCAAACTCCAAGATACTTGAAAGAACTTCTTTTGTTCCTATTCCTACAATAATAAGTACTTTATCATCAACAACTTCAGCTCCAAGGTAATACTGTGGTTCAGGCATGCGACACAACTCTTTCAAAACATAAGATGTTTTACCAGTAATCTGTATTTCTCTAATCAGATCAGATATTCCTTTATCTTTAATATATCCTCCAATGAGAAGAATTTGTTGTTTAAAAACAGCAGTTTGATGACCCTTAATATTATGAGGAAGCACTCTTCCATGTTAAAGGTAACTGTTTAAGATTCAACA